AAATTTACCAGTTTCAACTTAAAAGTAATTTCGTTACGAGTTTTGAAACATTGTATTATTTATTTATGTAGAGACATTTCAATGTCGTTTATAATTCTCAATTATCTCCCATTGACAATAAGTCTTCATTTTACTAATAATTGTAATTGGTAATAATTTATTAACACCAGCTAGCTTCTATGTCTACGAGCCAATCAATAATAATTAAGTAAATGTCAAGGAAAAAAGTGCGTTTTGCATTTCGTTTACGTGATGTGATGATCGTTTATAATCCTGGCGATTCCGATTGTTCGAATCGTTAGATCATCAAAGTGCTATTGATTTTTTAAATCGAGAATCCCAGCGTTTTCACATATTTGAGGGTCATTTTTCTAGCAAAACTACTTTGCCGAAAAATCACCTCACATCTATGATTTATTCAGAAGATCAACCTTGTAGTGTTTGTTTTGAACAAACATTCACCGCAAATTGGCTTTGGCACTTAAAATTTAGCAAATACTAGTGCAATTTCCATAATTAAAAAATTCCATTAATTCGATTCCTCTCTAATTCATCAAAATCGTCTTTGGGGAGATTTTGTTCAGGGAAAATATAATTTCGAAAAGCCATACATAGACGCAGTAATAGGATTTAAGACTTAAAGAAGCCTTTTATTTGTGATCCCGGTTAGAATTTCATATTTTCCCCCGATCTTCCTGTGAGTTTCCTAATAATTTTCAAATAAAATTTTAAGTTATGATTCATATTTTATGGTTTAGAGGCACTTTATGTGGACGGTAAAGCGAGATATTATCGGACTGAGCTATTAAAAAGATTGTAAAGGAAAAAGCAGAATATTTATCTAAAGTAGCAAGAAGCGAACCGGCGTTACTTTTTTACTGTAAAAAAATTCATAAACCTGCTTGTAACTGAAGGAGATGAATTTTTGTAATTGACAGGAAATCGTACGGGTGCTGCCGATATTGGCAGGGTTTAAAATTAAATATAAAAAATATTTTGTTTTCGAAAATCACAAAACTGTGATTTTTCTTTTTTCCAAAGTCCGAAGATCAGATTGAGCTGTAAAAACCTTACAGTTTTTACATTTTATTAAGTAAAAAAGATATCACACATTTTATAGAAATACCTACATTTATGAATGACGTACAAGTTAAGAGTAGCAAAAAGTGTTGCTGAATGAAAAAACCGATGAATAAATTTTCAAAAGTATTTTGGTAACTAAAAATATAGCAATTTTTCTTATTTTATCAAATAAATTCATCAAAAATAAACATACATTTTAGCTGCCATAGGAAGATTTTTTGAGTCTGTAAATGGTTTAAACGTTCCTTTGTAGTGATAGATATTTTATCTATTTTGACTCGGAAGATTTACCTACTACAAACGTTTTGATCGAAGAAATCGATTTAAAGTCTTCCGTCTCTGTGAAAGTTATTTTATTATCTCGTTTTCCTGGTAAAATTGACTGAAAGTGACTTCCAAAGATTTACTTAGGACCGAATTTGACAATTTGAAGGCAAACCCCACACCCGAACTAATATAATATGCACAATAAGCAAAAGCTACACCTTTGTTAAATTGGCAAAATCTAAAAATAAATTTTCTTTGTTTAGGATTTGACCAAAATCGAGAGCGTACAGCAGCAGCAACACGACACATATTGCGTTTTAGAGCGATTAATATTTACTTGGGCGTTTCACCCATGTTATCTTGTCAAAAAGGGACGTTTCCCTTTTCTCAGTAAAGTGGAACATAATTATTTATTCAACAATATAATCGGGGGTAATTGCACAAGTGCTTCAAAATTACCGATAATTTTGCATAAAAGCTTGTTGTCTAAAAACTGCATGAGTTTATTTTCATATTGTGTCGAAAAAGCCCGACTCCGAAGGAGGAGGGCTTTTTCGTTCCAATGTGAAAATAAACGAATGCAGTTTTTACAAGACAACAAGCTCGAATGCTAAATTATCTGTTTATTTTGATGCACGAGTGTATTTTTTATAAATATTTCCTGAGTAAACAAAGTAAAATGTGGATTCATTTTATTTCTATTATATTTTATTACACTTTTAATTTTATTACTTATGTTTATTAAATATAATTTGAATATCTTAGGTATGTCAGGAAGACATTTGATGTCTAATTTATCATGAAGACACCTATCAAATATTTTTCGTAAACAATGCAATTATCGTTGAGTGATAATTGCACACTGTGCAATTACCGCTGTAATTTTTCGATAATTGCACACTTCAAACGGACAGATTATCATACGAGGGAAATATTCGAAATAATTGTCTCTTGTTTCAGTTTGATAGACGTTAGTATATGACACTCTTAATAATACATTAGGCCTGAATACGTAATCATTCTGAGATTTGAAAAATGAATAAACGACAGAAAAAGTTTAATAAATAATGTTTAGGATTATGTAGTGTCCTATTGAAACACTTTAACTTACAAAAAATTAACAATTTTTTTTGTATACCAACAATTTCTAACTGGCATAACTTAAATAGCATTTAATAAATTGATGTTAGATCTGTCTTGACACCCTGTATACATATATCGTTCCGTAGAATTCGATTTCCAATACAGCCGAAATTCGATTTCAAATTGATAGAAAACGAATTCTTAATTAAATTATTTACTGAATTTAGAAATTTATCAGTCATCAATGCTAGTTGATTATTAATTACTTTATCATCTTTGGACTCTTCTACTCTTATCGGCCATACATGTACACATTCATATACATAAAACTTTATACTCGTAGGAGGAAATGTGATAATGAACTGTTAATAGTCAAATCATAAATGCATTTTGCAGCTTTAGAATTTAATTCATAACAGTTCTGAACAGAACATGCATTCTAAGCATAAATGTTTCAGACTACCGCAACAGTTGTTCCATGCAATTACTCATTTCTCACGAGCCGTGTCTCGATACAAGTTTAGTGTCAGAACTAACGTGGATGCATTAAACTTTTCCGATATTCGTTATACAATCAATTTATTAGTACGTGCAATATATTTTGCAAATAGACATCTAATCGCTTCCGTTGCCATTGCAAAGACAGGCATTTCACTTTTAAGAGGTGCCAATTAAAAATATTTAATTATAGATTGATAGTGGCTAGAAGTTGGCGAAAAGCTTAAACAAACAGACCTGGGTCAGTCTCAAATCGTTGCCAAGGTATGCACTGATGATTTGTTTGGAAAATATTCAGCGTTAAGCATGACTACCGTTTACGATACGAGCTACTTGCTCTGCGATTTGTTTTTTATTCTTTTTTTAGTGTCTACCAGTTTTCGAGCAAATATAAACACTTTTGAAATAATTGCAGAATTTGAATGAGAGATTATTTTATTGCAATTGTCTATGGGGTTTGTGTGTTAATTGATACGATTTATTATAGAATATATTTGGATTTTTGGTATCAAAACTCTCAATTTATTTGCGTTTGATTCTGCGTTGATATTTCTACGAATGTTAGCCGATATATAAGTTGAGATTCAGAGCACCCTGTATATCTGCGTGTAAAGGTTTCTTATGCAATGTTTGCTTGCTGTTGGTTTATTTGAATAAATAGTACAGACAAATAAGGTTATAATTTTCTATGCACTCTATGAGGCTTCATTGTTCAATGATTTCCCTCAGTTAAAAAAAAACAAAATGTGCAAAATTTTACGAAAAGGGAACAACTTGAAAAGAAATTGTTAATCCCAAACGAGGAAAAATTTTCTTGGCTTTACTCTCACTTGAATGAATGAAACGTCCACAAATAAGCTTCTGAATTTATTTGAAAACCATATGTTCTCATAGGTAGTTTATCAATATGTATATTACGAGTTGTAATTTGATATTTTCTTATAATTCCTCAAGAAAGAAAACACAACAATCACTTGTAATAGAAAAATGGTAATTTTTATGTTACACGCTCTGTGTATTTCTGAACTGGAAATCGGTATTCATTTCGCCAAAAGAGTTCTAAATAAGTATCGATCATTTTCATATTAGAATTTTCAAACACTTTGGAATTTCAAATTTAAAAAAAGTTTGATAATATAACAACTTGCTGAAGTGAATTTGCTATGGACTGAATGAGTGGTTGAAGGGAAATAGAAGCAAAAAGACTAGAAATTTTGTAGTTTTCACGAATTGCAAATTTTTACAGAAATGTTGTGAAACTTTGAAGAGTATAAAATATTGGAAGTCAATGTGTCAATTAAATTAATTAAAAATAAATAAATGCCCAAAAAGACACAAATATATATTTTTTTAAATAGAGGAAAGTGTATAGTTGAAATTGCGGACAGTGTTTCCTCCCAAAAAGCCTCAAACAGTCAAGTCAACGCGATCAAGTTTAACTTGTGTTTCTTCTCAAAAAACAAAAATGACATCACTGGTCACAAGCTTGATGTTGAATCAGGCATCTTTTTCTGGAAACAAAAACAGTTCATTTTCAAGTCTTCATAGTTTATAAGATTTTGTGAATGTGGCTGAATGTATACAACAAATGTGCAATTCTTCTGATGTGTATTATCTTTCAATCAAATAATGCATTGCTATTGAAAAATTAGACATTCGCTCGATTGCTTGAAATTGGTGAGTTTTTCGGGCTTTTAGGTCTGTACTACCGGCAGAACTCTTTTGAATTACACTTACTTACGAACAAATATCTTACATTTGAATTAAATTCATATTTTCTAAGAAACATCGTATGTAACTGATGAAACGTATATCTGCTAGTTGTATTTTTGTATTTTTCAACCTTTCAAAACGTATGATTTCCAATCACTTTATTTCTTAAATGAATAATAAAAAATGTCTATGTGGCCACAAGATAAGTACACATACTGTATAGTTTTTGAAAGTTTCGCAGTAATATATTAGGAATAAGTTCTTTCCCACAACGCAAATAATCGTAAAAACTCATCAGTTTTATATTTAATTGTTTCTGTGCAAGTTTTATAACAATTTATTTTTTTTGTTTTCAGGAAGTTGGAAGTATAATAGGAAAGAAAGGAGAGATAGTGAAACGATTTAGAGAAGAAGTAAGCAACAATGAAAACATAAACATAAAGCATTTTTTGCATTAAAAAATTATTTTACAGTCAGGGGCCAAAATAAACATCTCAGATGGTTCCTGTCCCGAACGGATTGTCACGGTAACCGGGCCCACCACTTCAATATTCAAGGCGTTTACACTAATATGCAAAAAGTTTGAAGAGGTGAGTATTTTTACAAATGCTGTTTGATTATGGTTGCAAACCAAAGAAATATGGTATTTTAAAAACCTAAAATGTGTCTCTTGCAATTGTGTTTTCCCTTGAACGCATGTGTTCCTTGGTTTAATAAAAACCAAGGTATAACCAATAAATGGTTCTACTTTCTTCAGTTTCCTTATTAATTTGCCTCAATTGTACAGTGAATATTTGAAAAAATGAGAAACTCATACAAGCGGCTTACAACGGAGCTATAATTGCTTTCTATGGAAACGACAATAGACTATACAGGGTCCGTCTTTGGGAGCTTACACTAGAAGTATTCGCCAAATCAACATTACCAGAGTTCTGAAAATTCCAATACAAGGTAACGATGTTGGGGCTAACTCATCTAAACTATTTTCAAGGCGGTACCACTTCCGGTTATACCGGAAGTAGGTACCTACTCGCTTATTTTTAATGGAGCACACTGTATATTATTACATTTTTGGATTCTCGGTCGGATTTTTGGGTGATTTTGTTAAATGAACTGGGTACGAAATTTCAACCGTTGTGGAATAGTATCCATTTTTCCAAAAAAATTGACAGGTGCAGGCTTGGAAATAAATCGTTGTTTCGCCTATTTAGGTCAATCAATTTGAATATAACTTTAGCTTGTTGTAGCCAAAGGTGCCATGTCTCAATGTGCAAAAAACGAGTTTTTCATCTCTTATAAAAAAGAAGTTATGGAAAATTAAACTTGACTGTCAAAAAAGGCATATTAGTAAGGCTAAACGTAACAGTTTCATAGTTATTTTCAATAAACTACCAATTTTTATATCTGAGCTAAAAAACACGATTACATACATACATCAGGGGTGGCAGTTGTCATCCAAAGTTGTCAGTTTCAGTAAATGTTTTAGAAATTTGTGTTAATCTGTCGCAATGGCTCGACTTTAATTTTCTAATCAAGATTATTTAAATTTACTACTAATTCACGGAGAATGTCATAGAATTGTAGTGCGAACAGTAAGAAATTTTATCGAACGCTATCCAGAGCCTCCCCGACCATCAGCGGATACTGTAAGACGTCTGGTTCAAAATTTGGAAAAATAGTTTGGCACATTTAAATACTCTGCATCCAGAAGAAAAACTGCTGTTGATAACGAGCCAAATGAGATAACCACTTTAGTGTATTTCCGTGCATATCCTTATAATTCCCTAAACGACGCGAAAATTGGGATTGGTTTGACACCAGCGACCATCACGAGGATTCTTAAAAGACATTAATTTAAATCATACTGTTTGCAACTAGTTCAACATTTGAAAGAAGCCGATTTCATGAAACGCATTTCTTTCTGTGAGACTATTTTACTAAAAATACAAGAAATTCCAAATTTTTTGAGTAATATTATATGGACGGACGAATCTAAATTTACTAAAAATGGCATGTTTAATAAACGAAACTTGCATTACTGGAATAACGACAATAGCAATCCTATTCGCGAATGTCATTTTCAAGAAATTTTGAACTTTAGTGTGTTTTGTGCTATTCGTAATAACGAAATTTTTCACGTCTATTTTTACAACGAAAGTTTGAGAGGTTACTGGTTAATAGTTGACTTATGCATTTTATAATATATGTATTTATATGTATTTGTGTATGTATTTAATTTCTAGGGAAAATTTCTCTTGAAATTTTAAATACTGGAATTGAACCCAGAATAAATAATGTAGAGCGGGACATGTTACGGTACCAATAAGAGGTGCGCCCCCTCACAGCACCAATGCCGTTTCCATAAACTTTACGAAATTTTTGAAAACCGTTGGTTTGCCAATAACGGTCCCTTTCAATGGCCACCTAGGTCACCCGACCTTACGCCCATGGATTTTTATCTATGGGGTCGAATTAAAGATCTTGTTTATGCTACACCATTAACGACCAAGGAATATTGCATTGCAAGGGTGCGAAATGCCTTTAACTCTCTTTCCCCTGAAGAGATTCAAAGAGCTACAAATGGAGCTGTTACAAGGCATGTTCAACAATGCTTTGCTTCTAACGGACAACATTTTTAACATTTATTGTAATTAAAAATTGAGCAAATAATAAATAAGTATTAAAAAATTAATTATACTAAATTGGTAGTTTATTGACAATAACTATGAAACTGTTACGTTTAGCCTCATAAACCTTTTTATAAACTTGCCTTAATTTTTGTCACTCAATCGATCTTAATAGGAAAAAATAGGAGTTTCCATTTGAATTTTTGGTGTAATATGCCTTTTTTGACAGTCAAGTTTAATTTTCCGTAACTTCTTTTTTATAAGAGATGCAAAACTCATTTTTTGCACATTGAGGCATAGCGCCTTTGGCTACAAGAAGCTAAAATTATATTCAAATTGATTGACTTAAATAGGCGGAACAACGAATTATTTCCAAGCCTGCACCTGTCATTTTTTGTGGAAAAATGGATATTCCACAACGGTTGAAATTTCGTACCCCGTTCATTTAACAAAATAACCCAAAAATCCGACAGAACCCAAAAATGTAATAATATACAGGGTATTCCATTTAAAAGACGCGAGTAAGTACCTACTTCCGGTATAACCGGCAGTGCTACCGCCTTGAAAATATTTTAGATGAGTTAGCCCCAACATCATTACCTTGTATTGAAAGTTTCAGAACTCTGGTAGTTTCTGTTTGGCCTATACTTCTAGTGTAAGCTCCCAAAGACGGACCCAATATATATTGCAATTGGAATATGCAAATTTCTTAAACGCATCTTTAAATGTTGTTAACTCGTGTTCCCCGCACACAGTGGTGTTCGCAGTTCCAGGACAACTCAAACAGTGGCAGCGTTCCACGTCCCCCGATCACCCTACGATTGATCGTTCCAGCTAGTCAGTGTGGATCCCTGATTGGGAAGGGGGGATCAAAAATCAAGGAAATTAGGGAAGTTACTGGAGCATCTATTCAAGTAGCCAGTGAAATGCTGCCCAACTCAACAGAAAGAGCCGTAACCATTTCGGGTACAGGCGAAGCCATTACCCAGTGCATTTACCACATATGTAGTGTTATGCTCGAGGTGAGTGGCATTAAGCAAATTATAACCGACAACTTGAGCTGCTGGCAAATGAAGAGGAGAAAAGATAGTGATTGTTTGGTTTGTTTCAGTCCCCCCCTAAAGGCGCTACCATTCCCTACCGCCCCAAACCTCAAGTCGGCGGTCCTGTGATTCTAGCTGGCGGACAGGCCTACACCATCCAAGGCAATTACGCCGTGCCTGCGCACGCTGATGTAAGTACCCCACTCATTTCTCCTCTCCTAACACCCCATCATGGCCCCCCGCATCATGCGTTGCTGGGCGGGCCTGCTTTGGCCGCCGTCACACCTCAGGCGCCCTCTACCTACTTCGAGCTGAAGAACGGACCGCTGCCGGCTCATGCGGCGCTCCCGCCTCAGCATCTGCTGCCAGATGTAAGTTGATCGTATTGGTGACCCCCCAAATCCCCCCTGTCGTCAATCTTGCTCTTCCCCTGTGATGGCCCTTCCGATTCTTCACTCTGTTTGGCTCTGTGAACCCCGCCCCCACCCTTGTCTAGCACCTGCAACTGCGTGAGCTTAGGAGTTGACCGTTGGTAATCAATCAAGTTCTTATGAGCAGCGTTGTCAGCACTATTGCGTTCGTAACAGATTTACGTTCGTATTTATAAACAATGCTTGAGCATGAGTTCGAGTTTCAAGCACTAGAATTGACGATCCGAGCCTGAGCCGCGGCAAGTTTGTCAGATTTGTGCCGAGTATCTTGGCTCGGGGCGATTCATTTTTAGCAATTTTTCAACTTTGAGGAGCATGAGCGGAGTCTCGACTTGAGTTTGGTTTATAAATACGCGCCTTAGTTCTAAAGACAATCGTTTAATACCCTGGTGCGCCGCTCAGTAGGCATAGGTAACACTGTTGTGTGGCACTTTTGTGTTGATGACGCTCTGTGCGTCAATGCAACACCTCGCAGCTTACGGCGCAACAGCTTGAATAGCGTTTAGCCTCATTCAAGATGGCAGACAGTCACCATATGATTCTCAACACCGTCGGCAGGAATTATATTACGTCTTATGTAATTATAACGCCGCGCTAGCGATAACCAGAATTTAATAACAAACTAGTTTGTGCTCAAAATACTTATTTACTGATTAATTATTATATATAATATCTCGATTTGGAGCGGTTTTTTAGTACCCAAATTTCGAATATTGTGTCATCAAAATAATGCAGTAGTAACAATTGAAACACTGTTGTTACAACTTTTTTCCAGCACGAAATGATTGAAAATGAAAACTCGTTGTCTCAATCGTTGTTTCAACGATATCCGACACCTGTTCATTCATCCAAATATTCGGATGTTTTTACCGAAATTTCGCTTGTGGGGCAACTAGGGATTACAAGAAGGAAATATGTTGGGACTTCATGTACTTCATTCATTAAAGCAACACAACCGGCGTGTGTTAGGTTATAATTATCTAGATATTTTTAAACATTTTCGTTTATGTGCAAAAAAAATAATGCTGGGAAGAAAATATCAATATATCGGACTACATAATGCTAACAAGTAGAGAGGAACCACAATTTGTTTTAAGAAATATCAATTAATTATGAATCTTCTTTAAGGTCTTTTTAATTTCCGTGAAGTAATCTTTACTGGAATGCAAAAATCGATACACCTGCAGTGAGTGTGATTTGCAACTACCCCATCTACATATAAACTTTGACAAATACAAAATATATATTGAAAATACATATTTAAATTCAAGCTTGAATTTAAAAGAATAAATAAGAAGAAAACAAATTGAAGCAAAACTATGAGTGACATTTTTTTAATTTCGTAATATACCGTTTCCAATAACCTTTTTTGTTTCACTTATCATTTTTTTTTTTGAAAATATAGGGAAAACGGGATTTTTTAAGTGACCCTTTGGGTATTTTAACTTAACCGATCTGGCATCACTGCCCTACACATTTATTGTCTTATGAGTTTACTGCATCATAAATTGCGTTGCATTGACACGATAAGCCGTATCGGTATTAGTGCGCCAACACCTAAAAATCCACTGTGTTACCCATGCCTACCGCTTAGCAATCTGTTACGTTTTTCGTTAATGCCTAACTAATCAAAAGCTCGTTTTATAGTAAAATACAAAATATATTTAAAGTAAAATAGCGTTTTTTGTTAGGAATGTTTTATCATTTTGTAGGGCAAGATGCGTTCAATATGTGGAAAAAATGTCTCTTTAAAGTATTCATCAATTAATTGTCAAGAAACTTTCCAAGTTTGTAAGGCATTTCATGTTTTTTAAAGGGTTCCATTTTGTAAGGCAGAGAAAAGCGTTTTATGTATTGAAAATTTTGCAAAATTGTTGTTTGATTTACGAGGTTCTTGAACTGAGAGTCGTTTTTGTATGCATTTTACAGGGTAAAGGATTTTCTACAGCTGCCAAAGTTTCGACTTTCCGTCATCATCAGGCAGTTTTACAATTTTTTCTTCATTTGCATGGGGGTTTTCGCCGATATTTAAGCAGGTCGTAGTTTGATATTTATTTGCTCAGGATGTTGCAAAGTTAGAGAGCCGCTTTCAAATCAAATTTGTAAATCAGCGTCTGGTTTTTATGGGGATATTTGCAAGACAGAGTTAAACATTTTTTTAGTTAGCAGTTAATCAATTTCATGCAATCAATATGCATTTTTTATAGTAAGATCCAGGATTATCAGGCAATTTTTGAAAATCGATGATGCTTTCGCAGATATTTAGCAGATTTAACATTTATTTGCTCAGGGAGTTGCAAAGTGAGAGAGTCGCTTTTGAATCCAAATTGAAGGTCAAAGTCTAAAGTTCAAAACGTTTACGTTTTACGAGGTTATTGAACTGAGAGTCGTTTTTGTATGCATTTTGCAGGATAAAGGATTTTCTACACCTGCCAAAGTTTAGATTTTCAAGACTATCAAAATCGTGTCTAGTTTTCATGATGGTTTTCGCAGGCCGGAGTTTAACATTTATTTTCTCTGTTAACTAAGAAAGTCAATTTTGAATGCATTTTCTATAGTAGTCTTTACTGTACTGAACAACTTTTCTTCATTGAAAAACGCTCTAATTTTTCAGTTATTGTCGAGCAATTTTTGACAATTTTACAAAATGTGTTTTGTTTACGTGATTGTTTTTGCAGGCCGGAGTTTGGCATTTATTTCTTGATGAAGTTGCAAAGTTAGAGAGTCACCATTGTATCAGATTTGTAGATTAAAGTCTATTTCTACAGGTGCAAAATGTTTCGTGTTTTAGTCATCAAGACATTTTTAAAATCCGCCTGGTTTTCATGAGGGGTTTGCAGGTTGAAGTTTAGCATGTATTTCCTTCCTAACTTGCGAAGTAAGAAAGTTAATTTTGGATGCATTTTCTATGGTAAAGTCTTTTACTATAAGTGAACAAAGCTCTAATTTTTCAGTTGTCATCATTTTTGACAAATTTGATAACTTGCGTTTTGTTTACGAAGTTGTTTGTGCAAGCCGGAGTTTGACATTTATTTTCTCATGAACTTGCAAAGTTTGAGAATTACTTGATTGTATCATATTTGCAGATCAAAGTCTGCTCTACAAGTGCAAAATGTTTCCATTTTCAGTCACCATCAGGAAATTTTCAAGAATTTTTCAAAGTTTTCAATGTGTTAGAATTTTTTTTCAATTAAGTATAGGTCGTATTTTCCCATTTATTTGCTCAGGGACTTGCAAAGTTAAAGAGTCTTGTTTATATACGTTTTGTAGGGCAAGGTATATTCTTTAAATGGAAAGCGTTTCTAATTTGATTCCGCCTCGGCGAATTTTCAGAAATGTTTTTATAGTTACGCTTGTATTTTGCGCTTTTTTATGCATGCTAAAGTTTATAAGTTCTTTCCTCAGAATCTAGTTAAGTTAAAGTTTGACTGTTGTATGAATTGTGTAGAGCATAGTTTCAGTCATTATCAAACTTTTCAAGATTTTTTACTATTTTTGCTAATTTGTTATAAAATTGTGGCTGTTTAAGTTTTGGAGTTTATTTTCAACCATTGAAGTTGGAGATTCATTTTGGCGTGTATTTTGTAGGACAGAGTATTTTTTCCAAGGGCCACAAGTATTGATTTTCAGTCATCACCAGGAAGATTTAAAAAAATGGTTTGTTAAAAACTGAAAGAAAAATCTATTACCAAAGTTCTTATTCTGTTGTAGAATTTTACATAATTTATTACGAGAAAACAAGGTCTGCTGGCAACGCTGCTTAAGGTTAATTGCTTGCCTTTAATCTGGAAGATTTCGTGAAAAATGGGTTTAAATAGAGGTATTAAAAACGCTCATTCATCGAGTATTAGTAGATAGTAGAAAGTTTCGTACTTGAGTAGAGGTTTCTGGAAAAATCCCGAAACATCGAATACCAAATCGTGTTGATATCATACTCTTTGAATAGTTTTAACATCCATATTTTCCATAATTTCGTTAATGTTTTAGCTTTTCCAAAAACAAAACATTTGCGAACGAAAAAAGAAATTGTGTTTCGAATTTTTTTTTACTTTCCATTTATCTACTCTGTTAGCAAGTAGGATGTAATAATAATACGTTTCAGCATATTATTTTCTCATCAAACCAAATCTAAAGTTTCAGCAAGTTTCATAATTAGGTAGCAACGACAATGTATGATTTCTGTAGAGACGGATTTATATATCTTAATTGAAATTTTACATAAATACTTAGCTGAAACAAGCATTAGTTTTTTGCTGAAACAGTTGGTTGTAAATTCACTTTATTTATATATTTGCAAAGTTCTGGAAAATCGTTTACTTAACAAAAGTTCCCACGTGTTTGCAATTATTGCCCCACATTGGAAACTGTATTTTTTTAAGGAACGCAAAGTTATCTGCCCATGTTTGAACTTTGTCGTCCATACAGATCCAACACAACTCTTAAGTTCGGTTACTTTAGAGGACGCTCAGCTCTACCTCCCCACCCAAACTAAGACGTTCTCACAGTCTAGCATGATTTTCATATCTAGCCGTGCCCTTGTAGTTTAGTGATTGTCAAGATAAAAATGTTATGTGGAATTGATTCGTTAGCTATTTAGCATGCATTTCAGACACGACTTTTGTAAATTATTTACAAATGCGGTTTACAACTATTTCTCGTTTTGTTTCGATGATGTCGAATATGTTCTTCCTCCGTTACATGGCCAATTATTTTATCGGATTGGGTTGTTTTGCATGGAATACGGAATTCTGGTCAGAACTGCTTTCAAGGCAACCATTTACATTAAATAGCAATCTATTTTTCGTATTAATGCAATTACTGCTTTGTTACATTTCAATAAGATGACATCACATCTCATATGAGGTTTGCCAGTATAAAGCACCAATTTTAGACATAAGGTTTTTATAAATCTTGTGTTTTGCTTCCGGAAAAGTTACTTTGTGGAACCTGCAAAAACTAACACAATGAATATCTGTGCTTGCTGAAATTAAATAGACAACATTATGCCCAGGGTTGTATTAGACAGCATTATTTCCAGGGTTGACGTAAAATAATTTTGAAATTTTGCATGTATTTTAAAAAAATGCAAGAACTAACCAAATACGGTGGGTCGCCATTCAATTAACTCATCTCTGGCAGCTGGTAATTTGATTTTAAAATCGATTCCATTATTATTGAACGAGGTTACTTGAAACCGTTAGTTTTTCATTATAATATTTGTTTGTTTCCAGTGGAACGTACAAAAATGATCATCATTTTATGTATGTTGCTGATTTTTGTTTAGAATCATTCGAAGGGAGTTTTGTAGTTACCTTCTGGTATGTGCGCCATATTTTGTTTCAGGTTACCACACTAACCAAAAATCCATTAGCTGGTTTAGCTGCGCTCGGTTTGGGCGGACTAGCCCCTGCAAATACCGGTGGCTTAAATCCTGCAGGTATTTATAAAAATATTAATTATATTTTCCCTGGTTTAACGCTAGTGATCCTACCTAGTTAAAATAGAATACAATCACTTCATGCGAATTAATTTACATATAAATCCATCAGCTTCTAAGTTTATTTCCTAGATCTGATTTTTCGGTGATTTGACGATCCAACAGCGTTTTTGTATGTTTTTTTTGCAACCGTCCGATGTTGTGTAAAGTGGAAAACTTCAACTTTTATCTGATACCGTATATTTGTACTATTTTGATTTACATTTGGTGATAGAAATATTGCAAGTGCTTTATTAGAAGTTTCGTAATGGAAACTTAACTTTCACGTCACGAAAATTGCTCCTTAGTCATTATTAGACCGTTATTTACTAAGCTGACAAAACTTTTTGGACGATTTTTATGATACTTTCAGCATCTTTAAAGTGTTTTCTAAATATGGTGAAATGGTGGTGATGGTATTTCATATTGCGACTTTGCGTCTAATTTGGAAGATGCGAATTTTTAAAGGAGATAGTATATTTTAGCAAAATCCGTCATTATGAGCACGGCATTTGCTCAGCTGCCATGACTCAGGATTTTGAACTATTTTGATGAAACTTTCAACATATTTAGAATAAAGTGTCTTCTAAAGATGGTGAAAATTTCAGATTGTTGCTTAATTTAGTTTAAATATGCGAATTTTTATAGAAGGGAGCGCATTTCAGTTAAAAAAAACTCACTATGAGCTCGTTATTTACTCGGCTGACAGACCTCAGGATTTGGGCCGATTTTATGGAAACTTTCAGCATCGTTAGAGTGAAGTATCTCTTAAATATGGTGAAAATTTCTTATTTCTACTTAATTTAGTTTGGAAGATGTGCATTTTTAGAAGAGAGTGCATTTCAGTTTAAAATATTCAATATGCTCGTTATTTACTCACCTGACAGAACTCTGGATTTTGTGCGGTTTTAGGAAAACTTTCAATATCGTTTAAGATAAGTGTCTTCTAAAGGTGGTGAAAATTTAAATTTGCTTGTTAATTTAGTTTGAAAAATGCGAATTTTTAAAGGGAAGTTGTTTCATTTAAAAAAACTCTACATTTACTCAGCTGGCAAAACTCAGGATTTTGGGCGATTTTAAGGAAACTCTGAGGATCGTTTGGGACAAGTGTCTTCTCAAGATCGTTAAAATTTCAATTTGCTACTTAATTTCGTTGGGCAGATGCGAATTTTTAAATAAGAGGGCGCATTTTACTTAAACCCTGGCCGGCATGCAAAAGGCTGGCAAAAATCAGAAGTCTGCGCCTGTAGAATGTAAAACCATTTTGAACATTTGAATTCTTCCCAAAATTGTAGAAAGTAAAATAATTTTGTTACTCAATTATACCTTTGTTTTAATGTCTGACTTAAAGTTCAAAGTTGAACTGTTTTAGTACTACATGTTTCTCCGTTCTTTAATGGATTCATGGGACAGCCAGAAACTTGGCATCGTACGTTTGTAAAAAACATCTGACCAATGGAAACGCTGTCGGACCACCGGAAACAGTCACTTGAAACTTCAGCTTTATTACCTACAAATGAATTATATTGTTTTTAGCTCTGGCTGCATTGGCGGGATCTCAGCTGCGCACCTCTAACAGCTCGAGAAACCAGCAAAACTCAAATCAGCATACCGCAGAAATGACCGTTCCGAATGAATTGATTGGTTGCATCATTGGTAAAGGGGGCACCAAAATAGCTGAGATTCGACAGATATCTGGTGCAATGATTCGCATTTCCAACTGCGACGATCGTGAAAGCGGTTCTTCAGATCGAACTATAACCATTTCTGGTACCCACGACGCCGTCGCACTTGCTCAGTATTTGATCAATATGAGGTAAGTACATGTTTCTAGAAAGGCACTTTTTTCCATATAACTAATGCCTGGAAGTTGATGTTGGTCATCAAAAGTGAGCCAGGTCATTTTCAAATAATGATGGAGAAAAAATGGAAATTTTATCATCAGATTTTTTCCCTGTGAAAGTAATTTCCTCGTTACTCTTTCCAACCTCTTGCTAATTATTTTGTCCTAAATCCTGAATCACTCGGTCTACTTTGGTTCAACGAGAAAATTATTGATAGTTGATTAGATTGAAGTCATTAAATACAAAGGTCACTAACTGAACAAAAATCAATATTTTTATTGTCAGACACTGTAATAACGGTTTTTGTTGAAACTCATTAAACTAGAACAAATATTCAGCATTTGTATTTCTACGTACTCATATTTTTAGCATTCCGTAAAGATTCGAATAAAACTGCGGTCTGAGTACGAAGTTTGTTACAAGCAAATGACATCTAAAGTAGTTGTTGGAGAATTGTTTATTTGGTTTCCAAGTCCACTTATCAGACGCTGGCTGCAGGTGTGGGCGGAAAACATAATGAATCTATTGTAATCAAGGAGTTTTAAATTAATTTTCGCATAAAATCACACAACCATCATCTTTTTTTACGAGGCGTATAACAGATTTTAATTAATTAGTTTTACATTCTTATTATTGTGAATCTATTGAATTAAAAAGTATGATTTCATCCCGATCTTTTTCTTTCTGTTGTGATAGTACTTAGCGGTTCATTTTTGTTTAATTTTTTGTGTTTGCTTGAGATTTGCAATGTTCATTACTTCTGTTCTACAGAGGTTTTTCTCGCTTGTCGTCCAATGCACAAGATGTGCAAATAAAAGTACATAGCGGATGTATCTTACAGCGCTAAAGGTATTTGTTTTCGTTTCTCGTTACGACCCAGTTGCGGTCAAACTTACAAACAATTTTCAGTCATTTCCTGTGTGATTCCTTATCCGAACAACCTGTATTTGAACCTCTTTATTGTCTTAATCAGTCTTCTGATTTTATCAATAGTGTTCTGTTCGATACTTCTATTTAATTATCATGTTTTCGTTTAGTTTTTAATAAAATCAAATACAAGCAGAAGCCGAAGAACAATTTTGTTTTCAGTGAACTTTTCAAACAAAGCAGGTCGAATCGACAAAAATTGCGACCTGACCGAGTACACTATGAAAACAATAAATAAAATTGCATTTAATACACATTATAATMAATTTTGCAAAATGATGCATAATACATTTGCTACAAAWTATACTGGCAGAGCTTTAAGCAACGATAAAACATTTTAAATTATGAATTAAACTCGCKGTTCATAACAGATTCAATGAATAATGAATGGATCAATTGATAATAAAATGAATCTAGGCTGTTGAAAATGGAACGCTATTCATGAAAGTTTAAAATAGTTTTTATACTTACTGGCTACCATACATAATACCAGGTCACTTCAGCTTATTCGTTATATATAGTTTTCGGAAAAATTTTTGAGTTGATTGATTTTTGTTTCAAAACAATACGCTTTGAAATAAAGGAATTTGATGATAAAGAAAACAAAATTAAATTCTTCAACAAACCCAGGATTAAATCTCTGAATTGAATAATAATAACCATTTTATAAAAGTGAATCTAATTATTCATGAAGTAGAATATTTCTGGATGCAACACAGCAAGCAAGGCAGAGTGAAAAATATTAATGTAAAAATAGGCAAAATTTCCATTTGTTGTTTTCAATGTGGATTATGAATTGGATGAAAACTATCAAGCTCATACAGATCAACTCAATTTGAAAAAACAATGGATTCCAGGTAAAGTAATAGGCTTCAAAGTTGATTAATAAAACCGAAGATGCAAAAAATACAGACAAAATAAATGTATCACCAAGATTCAGAAAATATAATTGAAAAGTAAAATTACACTTGCCTGTTTACACTGCACACGGCTGAAGGTTTCACCAATTGATTAATCCAGTAAAAAGGTTATCGTTTTAATATCAACAAATGTACTTACAAATCTATTTCGATGTGTTGATACTAAGAATATTTATTTGGTTAAAAAATTAAATATTTAAGTCTTCTCGGCATTATTGAAAGTTAGTGTAAAGAAAAATGAGCTTGTACAAAAACCCGTTATTCAGTGAAAGCAACAATTACTTGATCAGATCTTCAGCATGCATTTTAATGCCTTCGATATAATTGAGTAAAACTATTTTATTTTAACTCCTTGAGAATTGGCTCCTCATTCACGAGAAAGCTAATTCTCACATTTGGGAATAATTCACTCATCTATGTTCTGTCTTTTGTATGAATCTTCAAAAATATTCTGGTATTGGTTGGATTTGTGATGTATGAAATGCAGTGGGAACCTGCAAAACATTTTATATACTGATTGTAAGTTTCATTTTACTTATTAGCTCCCAACAAGTTTGTTGCACAATTTTTCCTTCTCGTAAATTGAAATAGAACTTTGAGAAGTTTGTTAGTTTTTTGCCTTCCATTCTACATTCCTAAAGACATGTTTATCGAATTGCAATCTGAAAACAACTGACGATTGTTTGTTCTAAACCGCAACCAAAACCACTTGCAACACTTAATTCTTAAATAGTTGGTATAGTTATAACTTCCGTTTATTCCCCCAACTCCCAAATGTATCCATTTCTTTTGCAAATATCGACAATTTTCTAATTTAACTTTGCTTCATAGTTTATTTGTTATAAAATTCGGGTTACATTTTTCCCTGCATTTCAGGCCGATTAAACTGATCGTATTTTGTCAGCTTTGGTTTTTTGATTCTATTACCGCATATTCTATTTTTGTGTTCCTGTTCTTTCGTTTTCAACAATCTATTATTTAACTTTGCTTTTGCAATGTCATTACTTGCAGCTCATCGTTCCACCAACAATTCTTCTCTCTGAATTTTCTTTCTTTTATATCTAAGACTTTGGCTTATTTGCTTAGCTTATAAAGTTGTCTTGTACTCCCGGCCAAAATTGTTAAATTCTGCTGTACCTGTTCCACTTCAATTAAGTTTGTATTTTGATTTTGTAGGTGTTTGAATTGTCCAACTATGGGAAGGGTAATGTTTGCTTTGTGTGGTCATTTCCGCATTCGGCTCCTAGAAACACTTCCGCTTTTTCAACATTTTGTTTCATTATTGCATAGTCGATAATTAAATCAGTGAGTTCGAAGAACAAAAACGTTATTTAATATTGAATAAAACACCTATAAACTGTGAAACCACTTATTTAATAGAATAAGTATGCACAGAAAGGTTTTAGACCTGGAGGTTTGGGATTTATTTGTCGCAATAAATTTTCAGAAAAACAAACTGGATGCCATTTATAGCTTAACAAAGGACTTGTATGGTTTTCGAAAACAACCCATTCAATTGATCTTAGACTTCTGGTAGTGTGGGTCCATGTGTATGTGTGTATATCTTTATGTTTGAAATGCGTATCACAAACAGTGATTCGTTATGTTAGGTGAATGTTTTTCAATTGCAGTCTCTCGCACAGTTATATGACGATTCGATTCAAGTGTGGCTTTCATCTTTATATCTTCCAACTTCAGAAGGTCCTCCAGTTCGTTATCTTTCAGTGAGAAATTTCCAGAAGGATTGTTTTTACATTTCTGACAGGGGCGGTCTGTTAACCAATCAACATCACTTCACATATCAGTGATAAGCCTCAACCGTTTTCTTGCCTTTATGAAAATAAAAAATTAAAGCTGTCGCAAATGCTTATTTTTGCACTCAATGTTAAAACTGAGAAAATTACACGGAATTAATTTCTACTGAACCTAAAAGTATCGATTACCAAATCTCAAATGAAAAAAATTGTAACATTACCAAAGGAGTATCGACAGAAACATAACGCTATGTTCTTGCCAACCCAAAATGTATTTCACTGAACGGACGTTTTACTTTGATTTGATGGTTTCATAAACGTTCCTGTTCCCACCTGGCCACCCTAATGCCCTTTTGTATCCATGCAGCGTCGAGCTCCAAAAGGCGAACTTAGAATCCCAAGGTTCCCCCAACGCCAGCGGCTCCAATTCCACATCCACGACCGCCGCCACCTCCTCACTTGCCAGTGCCATCCCGCTTGCTCAATTATTAGCCAAACCAGGCGCGCTAAACGCTCTTACAAGCTTGAGCGCCCTCGGGGGCTTATCGGAACTGTTGGGCGCACCATCGGGGGGTTCGACCGCTACGCCCGTTCAAACCACTGGCGTGCACCGACCTCACAAATCCTCCAGCTATGGGCGTTCCAGCGATGGCAGCAAACTGAAGAGCGAGAAGAACAAATATAATCCATATTAGTAGATGGGGTGGATCGTCACCGGATTTATTTCACGTGAGGCAGTATCATTGACTTTATATTTTTGATAAGAAGCGCGACTAAGATTAATTGAATAATGCATTGGGGCCATTTTAGGTAAATTTTTAGTGTGGGGTAGTTTTACTAAAGTAAGTTGTAAGCTCTTGCGTGCGAGCAAGCAATTCGAAGCTCTTATTTATCTAAGATTATAATAACATTATTGGCGTCTCTGATCTGATAGGTTAACACCTTTTCATAATCATCTTTGCTTTACTTATCATGTCCCCGTTAGTTATTTACTATAGTTTTTACTTTAACCAGACAGTGAAGTCTATCACTCTTTAGAAATTAGGAGAATCGTAAAAAACTCCGGACATCAACCCGAAAAACAAAAGCCGCAATCTTTAAGAATATCCGATAAATGTTGAAAGTACTAGTTAATATTAACTAGTATATTGTCTGTACTTTCCGCGAAATCATACCAAAGAAAGACWTTTTTGGACTGATAAAGTATTCTTAAATTACTATTATATTATCTTATTATCTCGCTTAGCTCATATCGAATGTAAGCTTGTAAATTTTGGAATTGCATTCAGTTAGTTAAGATTCAGCAGAAACTSSATACATTTTATTATTGATAAGCGTCTAGTAATATGCTATACAATATGCAAAAATATAAAGTCTTTGAGTACCTATGTTACTGAAATKGAGAACATGTCTAACTACATATAACTAAGTATAATTTTAGAGTTATTAGTTGCGCCAAAAACGTTTCATCAGTTTGAAACAAGTATCCTTCATCATCTATCCGCAGTTATTCAGCTTACATAATTTACTTGTATCTTTTTTAGGGACCAAGCGTTATTTTGTCAAAGTAACAAATCGAAACTAATGGGTTTTTCGGGTTCTAAAAACCCGAAAACCCCATTAGTTTCAAGGAATGGCCTCGAAAGTCTATCTCTTTTGATAAAGTAACAAATCGTTTTGAACGATGGAATTTTGTCGTTATATTTAAGTTGAATATTATTCAAGCTCACATCTTTTTATTATATATTTACACATTTGAAATTACGAAATTGTTTTATTAATTAGTAAACTAAATTGAATGGTATAGATGATTGGGATACATTATTTCTTTTTTCTCACAGTTATAAAAACTGTATTATTGGTCTAAACATGTGCGGTTTTACTGATCGCAATTTGGGATCGAATTATTGTAAATAGAAAATGTGTTAACATTAATTCTACAACACGTAGGCATAAGTAAGAGTACAGGGTACAAATTGATACTAATTGTTTCACGGTAGTGGTAGTAGATATTTTGATAATATATTCAATGTCTTGAACGCAACGTATCGACTTATACCAATTATACAGTTGAATGTGTACAACATCACTTCACATTTCTTAAACGTTTTTTTCTTATTAGGTATTTAAATTACTTCTTTATTAAACAGTTTTCATACTTTCTAACTAAAAGATTTTTTACGGTCTTTGTGAGTTCATTTACAGTATATCATTACCAATATTCATTTTATATCTGGTTTTCTATACTTAGTGATTTTAGTATAGCATACCGCCTAAATGTAGGTATCGCTTCTATTTGTATAAGATAGTGTTGAACTAATATGGGCTTTATATTATTGACCTATTTAAAAGATCAGTTTAGTGTTTAGCTTAATTTTGTTTAGATTCGTCATAATTATACGATACACATGTATTGCTAGAATATGTTCCACTTTTTATGTCTAGAATTAGCGTTAATATATTGTGTAAAAGAAATATGCATATGTATTTCATTTATTGCAATTTGATTTTTTGCAAACTGTAGTAAATAATTGTAATCCTAATTTCCGCAATACGCGGCGCGAAATCAGTTTCACTTTGAATGTATGTTTCCTTTGTGAAAGGCCACGTAACACAAAGCAGCTGAATGGAGTTTGTTATGTGTATTACATTATGCAAGTATACCGAACTGCAATCAGCTGCTGTAATTGAATCAAATTTTGGAAGTAAAAAATAATTTCGTTACCAGATATTTTAGAGGAACTTGTTGATGATCTCATATTATGGTGCAACGTACACATAACACACTTTTATGCGTTTTTTTTATATATTTATAAGTTTCATGAAAGGGCCGATTTGTTTGCATTAAAGAAACCGTAATGTAAAACCATTGAATAGTCCTGTTTGTGCAACTGGTTTCCAAAGATCCTGCCAATTCCCAGTCACGCTATCGCTACACAGGTATAAACATTGTTTTATGTATTTTATGATAATTTATAAAGCGTTTCACTATTTCTCAGATTATCCCGACCTAGTTCCTTCGAAGACGAACAAAAACCATCTAAATGTGTTGTTGTTTTAAACCTAGTTAAAGTCCTATAAACCAAATCCAACTAAAGTGAGAACGTATGTGTTTCAACCGCACTTACCACCACCATATGTCACATCCTATGCCTGCTAACAGACCGCTGCCTTTCAACCAACAACCTGTCCGGGTCCGGAGAAGAATCTATCCTGGTAAGCTTTCCATCCATTTTCTTTCCCTGGGGGCAACCAATTTACTATTTACTTGAGGGAGTATTTGGGTCAGAATTGCATGATATCAATTTCTAAATTATTTACTTGACTTTGGGGTGGAATCTTAGAATGTGTACGAGCCTTAATAACAACAAAAAAATGTAGCTACATGTTTAATATTTTTGTTATTACTGCTCGAACAATAGTGTTTTACAGGATAACTTGTATATACTTTGTACTAAACCATTGCAACAATATCTTGCTGAATATGAAAGCATAGTCAGAGTAATTAATATGTTTGTTTCATTTAGACGAACGATTCTAGTAGCGTATAATTTCAACGTGTTTAACATAACTCGCCCCTTTTCCAGCAAGCTGCATTTCCTTGGAACTCCAGGCACTTCCAATATTAACTGCCGAAAAACCTTTACCTGTTTTTCCTAGCGAAAAAGTAACTTCTCAATAAGAAAATGTGCTTGCCGATAACTACAGATTGATGCATTTGCTTATATTTCATAGAATATCAATGGAGACCGCTACTCTGCCAGGAATGCCAGGCTACCACTACTTGACTCCTCACCATATCGTGAAAGCACCCATTCACTAAGACCGATTTACCAATCACATCTGCTCTCAGACGAGACACTCAATCTGAAATTGTGTCAAGACATGATGAACAAACAGAACTGTGGGATCGTTGAAAGTGAGTAATAACTGCCCGAAACGATACCACGTTCATCATGTGTAATTAGATCTGTTTATTGGATCTCTCAATGTTTTTGTCTTGAACTTTGAAGCGAAAATCGTTTTAAGTTTGGTCAACAAATTCATAGTACTTAGCGATTAGAATGAAAGACATATCATAAAACCTAGCATATCTTTAAATTTACATATCCGTTTCCAGAATTGGTCCCGCTACGGACATCTGCTATTTTATTTTTAAATAGAATAACTTTGAACTAGTTGCACTTGGTTCTCTGTTTTCTTCTTATATCAGTAATCTTTAACGTTCAAAGTGTTATCGAATATTCTAACTTTTCCATATTTCATTTACATTCATCATTATTTCATACCTCGGAATTAGTTGAAGCAAATTAAATTTTAAAAAAAGTTTTAGAGCTTGGACTTCGAAAACGGCTATACCATAAGAAATAATTGTTGGAACTTTTTTGCTAAAATCTCTTTAGAAATTTCGTTCTCAGAATGTCAGAATTTGTAGGAAATGTAATGGAATTATAAGAGATATAGAAGCACAAATAAATGTAAATCAGTTAATAATCATGCCCAGGCGCTTAAATTATACAAACGAAGATTATTTAAACTTGTGCCAGAACATGTGATTGTGAAGGCAACCAGAAAAATTGGAGAACCTAAATTTAAAAAAGTAGCTGGTTTTTTTTTTATACAATAATAATTAATAATATATAAATGGTTCTTAATTGTGAAACAATAGAAAAATTGTAAAAAACGCATCTGAGAAACCCTGTAACTACTCAAAAATTTAATTGTGTACTTTCTAGTCCCAAAAAACTCAAAATCTTAAACATAGTTCAAGTGCTGATGAAAGATTCCACTCAAAGTGTAACTCTTGCAATAACACTAACAATATTCTTCAATTTGCTATTGAATATAGTTTGTTCAAGGGGCTAGTAAATAAGACTGTCAATATATTAACAATAAACCAGTTGACCAGACTTAAACGATTCGATATTAATTAGACAATATAATACCGGAAGTAAAATTGGTACTGGGAACAAAGCCAAAGAATTTCCGTTTCAATTTTTATAATATACATATGATATTTATGTAGGTGTAGTATTTGTAGAGCGTTATATTTATTGAATTGTATACGTAGTTAATGCGTGATTCAAACTTATCGGTTAGATTATTAATTTGTTATATTTATTGGTTTTGGTTATTGTCGCGGGTGTCTTCAGTGTAGTAATATTGATAAAAACAGCTTTAAACGTTTTACGGTCATAAAGGCATCCGGACAAAAGTTTTGTTATTTATTTAGAAAATTTTACAATATGAAATGTTATGAAATTATACCTAGGTCTGGAGTGATTTGGGCAATTTCGTGATGATTTAGAGTAAAACTATTAATAAGATGCGAGATGGGAATTCTGCATTTTTAAATATTGGGCTGTGGATAAAGTATTTTGTTACTAACCAGTAGTGAATCTCCTGTAAAAATGTGCCAAATTATATCTCTTCCTCACTATTCTTACAGGGTGTTTGAAATTGTAGAAACAAAACTCTCAATAACTTATATTGTATGCACGTTTTTACCCACCCTGTATATACCTTGTTAAAATGCTCACTTCACTTCATCTTATGGCAATCTTACCTGCAATTATTTATTTTCAAAATTAATTTCTAGTTAAATATTTACATTTTCAGAACAAACTTGAAAAACGTCATTTAAAGTTGAATAAACAAACGCAATATTTGAGACCCGGAAAAAATGCGACTGACCCAAAACAGATTTCTCATTATGTGGATTTGAAAGTGCAAAATCACTAGAGATTAAAATTAAACAATCACTGCTTATATTGTGATTTAAATTAAATCAAATTATTTTAAAGGATCATTGAGTTGATTTCCATAAATCTATTGCGTTCTAGCTTTGTTAACCGTTAAACCACACTTTAATTAAAAAAAATTTAAAATAAAAAATTAATCAATTTTTTATTTTAAATGTTTGTTCGCCATGCCACAAGCATATTCTTCGGCAGCAAAAATTGATCCCAGTTTGGCACCAAATTAAAACCAACGTGTACGTTTTAAGGAATTGTATTATATCAGCAAATCATAAGAAAATTATACAAATTTTGAAAAACTCATACAAAATTTACTGTGGTCTTTCAATCACTTTGACTTAACATTAATCAGCACTGTTTTCCACTCGTTCGGTCACTGTTTTGGTTAAAAAAATAATTTTACATTATTTTCAAAAGTATTTCTTATCCTTGTTAGTGTTATATTGGTAGTGTTACATTCAGCTCGTAGACGTTGTTATTAAGTCTACGTTTACAATGTAGCTTCTTAATACTTAACGTATTTTAGGCATAGTGATATTCTAACTGCACTACTATTCTAATCCTCTTAGAATTTATAACCAAATTAATGAGTATGATAATGAATTTGTCTAGTCATTTTTAGCTCAAATATTTATCCGATTTTACGGTGTATAAAAGACATTTTTTATTTAATAATTTAGTGGACCAAAGAAATCGCTTTAGGAATTTTGGTTTTGCCATTAACGTAATTTTAGACATATAAATGATGTCTCGAATAATAAAACCTTAAGCATTAACAATGTGAGTCAGTATTTGTTCTATACGGACTCAATTGGGACACTGTAAACGTTGAATATGTCAATATAGGCTAATGTATAAGAAGGATCTTCTAATGTGTTTAAGCCAATCACTTATTAGTTTGTGTTTTTTTGAAAAGATACTAGTCAATTTTGAGGATTGACGACCTGAAATTGAAAAAACTAGAAGATCCTTGAAATTTTCTTGACTTTGACTATAATTAGGGACAATCCTTTATAACAAACAACCTATCCAATTTACATTTTATTCAAAAGTAAACCCTAAACCCGCACATACATATAATGAAACCCTGAAATTTATCTACGTAAATTACGTTGTAAATCAACAACTAAACGTTTATAAGTGTTACGAACATTTCGACCATATATATATATATAAAAAAAAATCGATTAAAAACAAAATGACAAAAGTAAATAGATATAGCTAGTTTAGAACAGCCCCCTAACCGTTTGGTTCTTTATAGTTGTCGTGTTGTGCAAGGCAATCAGAAATAAGCTTGGCTGTAGTCGCATTGGATACGCAATGCATGTGATTGCTATAATGTTGATTGTATAAAATGTTAAAACCTATTTGGGATTTGGGCCGACTTTCGTTTCCTCTGATCGCAGCTTTCGAATCAAATTCGGCTCAACCACTAATTGCTTGCAGAACTCTTATAGGTCACACGAATAGCTTAAAATGCTATATATGTTGTCGAAATAGAAGAGCATTGTTGGTGACATTAATTTCATAAAGTAACAAAGTGCAATAATTCGTGTACAAAACCATTGGATTCAGAGATTATTTGAAATTTGACTGAAGATAGAATTTCCGTTCAAAGTTCGCCCCCCGGTTGGTTAATTTATGAAATTACTGACCAAACTAGCGTATGGCGCAATTATTAAGTGCATAGTTTATATTTTGAATTTATAGTTAAAGAAAAATTTATACATGACTGATCATAAAAATATTTTTGCATTGAACCTTAAAAGTGTGGACTAAAGAACTCAACTGTAAATAATAATACATTTTCGATACCCTGATGATCCGCACTCTAAAGAAAATATAACACAATCATGAAGAAATATCGTTTAAAGCCTTTCGAATACAGGGTCTATTAACTATATTAGAAGAAAAAAGTATTGTAGGTTATTTTGAAAATTTTCTTAACTATATATATGAAAAGCAAGCAGTATTGATTTTGTGAAATTTATATTATATATTTAACATTTACTGATGTATTAAGATTACGTACTAGTTGCACGTTATTGCTTTTATTGGGTACTGTATAACGGGTATATACGTAGCCGATTGAACTGCAGACAAAGCTTCAATTCAAAATCAGTTCACGCACGTATATCCATTTATTATTAATTTTACAAGTGTAAATATTTCAGTCAATAGCGACTAAATTTAAAAAAAATGATTTGAAACAGCCGATATACCCGTTGTGGGGCACAAGGACAAGTTGCCAAAACAAATATTCTAAATAATAAAACTTATGAGCCTCCCTGTACATAAATCCTCTTGGCAACTAATTTTCAGGGTAAAAATGCTTATTTTTCAAACATCTAAAAGCTTGGAAAGTTTATATTTGTAGTTTACAATAGGAGACGTGCCGTAGATGGAGCTAAAAACCATTTGCCGTACGAATAAACATTAAGTACCCATTAGTTGTTGAGCTTTTTGCTTAAGTGAATCACAACACGACTACATTGTACAGCCTTTAGAAGCACGCGCTATTAATTAACCGTAGTTTGATGAAGTTACCTTTTAAACTTTGACCTGAACCAGATATTTATCGGAAACCCGTTGATTTTACCAATTATTAGTGGGAGGGTGTGGTTGGTTGCACACCTGTAGTTTTATTGCTCAATATTTTATACTTGCTTATTTAATCCATATACCTTATTACTATTGTCAAGAGTAAGCATTTTTAACATACCTAATCAGACGCTTATGTTGGTATTTGCTAAGCAATTCAGAACGTTACAAGCTTGATTGAGATTATTTACATTCGCCGGATATCTGCAAATTGGAAAAAAATCTTAACACTGGCTGTGGACCTATTTGAGTGTTACTTTCCCTTGTTTTTAATTCGTTATTCACAAAATTGTCGTTTTAATTTGCGCTTTCCTAAATGTTTCCTCCTAAAACTTTTTGCCACCTTTCATCAAGAACTTAAATGTTTATTGTCAAGACAGGTCGTACAAGACCTATTGTTTTAAATGCATATCTCAGAACTATTTTCAATAATGTTACGTTATGACACGATATACAGTGTTAAAAGTATAAATAAATGTTTAGATTATAAAGATTGTGCGTATATAGCAATGGAACATGTTAGACTTTCTGCACATTCGTCGCTGTTCTTTCCATATCCAAAAATGTTTAGAATGTTTAATACTTAAAAATACTCTAGTGTGATACGTTTGTTTTTGTTTAATAAAGTGTGACTTATGACTTGTCGTTTTATTCTTAATTTTTTTTTCATAATATATATGCATTTCGCAGAGCTGAGTAAATTACTAATTTTTCATGAGTTTATTTAGTGCTATAGGTATTCAATAATCATTATAAAGTACCGCCCTTTTAACTGCCTTTTTATAAATGTAATGTTGGATATGCTCTGGAATTTTTGACGAAAAATAAAACTATAATCCAGTGATCGAGAAACTCTTACCACAACAAACTTCTAGTTTTTTCAATGGGACACCCTATACTTTAGTTGAACTGCTTCCGAGCTAGAAAAAAAAACGACGTTTCTAATGAAGCTAAGTAATTTCAAATCGAATGATCAGAATGTTTCAACCCGAAACTAAATTAACATTTCATGAAAGGAGACACGTAACTAAATTCCACCCTATAAAACGTATATTCTGAAAACCTACAGCAACGTAAAACTGGGTTCAAATAATGGGCATGAATAGGTTGAGGATCTATTTTTTTGTCTACGCAATCAACCCTAAATCGTAAAAAAAAACGAAGGGATAACCACCTTAAGTTTATTTTCTCACAGTTGAATAACACTATCAGCTTGTCATAAAGAATAGTTCTCGAATTTGAAACGCTATCACTGAAGAATAAAAACGCCCTACAGACACACGTTGAGGAATGTACCATAAACTTTCCACCGTATCTTACCAATCAAAAATGCAATCATCCTTCTTAACATTGATTTTCATGTGCTCATTTTCAACAGTTTTTTATTCAGGACCAACAAATCCCTGCCACATTAGCTTGTAGATATACTCAATATAATATTAATATTACATATTCAATAATAAGCAATGTATAGACATCTTACTTAAATCTGCAGGTATATACGTATTATATTGTACTGGCGCAGTAGAATCACATTATAGACCTTATTAAATTATTTTTATCGCAAAAGGAAATCAGAGCCGTCTTTAGGCATGGGCCTACAGTGGCACTGGCCCGGGGCCCCGACAATGCAAAAGCGGCCCACAGCCTCAAATTTAAAAAATATGCAAAATATTAAACATTTCTTAGTAACAATACATGTTTTAGATAAATTATAGTTTTTGCCTGGACTTTTCGCTCCAAAATCAGCAATTATATCCTCAAAACTCACAGTTTTGAGTAGATCTCATTCAATAGGTATGTACTTAGTAAAGATAAGTAATTATTTTTAATAATTTCTTATTAAAAAATATATTTTTCAGACTAATAATTTGCCATTTAGAAGGTCGTAGAAAATTTAAATCAATAATGTATACAATATAACTAGCCTGAAAAATAATCCCCTTGCAACCCCTTTATACTGTGGCACGAAGGTCCAACAACTTTAAAGACGGCGCTAAAGGAAATGATAATGGTTTAGAGGTTTTTAAAAGAAGCAACAAAGATTTGCAAAATGTGGAATGTTTTGCCATAAATATATGTATATGAGACTTGGTTTTCACTCATTTACCGTTCTGGAATTACAAACCCATTTAAGAATTGAATAAAAATAGTGTCGAATAAAGGGAACATTATAGCCCGCATGCGATTCAGTTTTACCATTGTGCGGTTGAGTAGGTAGTAATAGGCCATCTCGTTTAACAAAGGCATTTTTGAGCAGATGAGGGAGCGCTTAAGTCGATTTGGCTGTGATCCCCTGGATTACCCCGACGATTTGGTAACATCGCCATATCCACTGCTGTTTCCATTCGGTACATTACTTTTTCCAGCAGCGTCTCAATCGCTCGAGAAATATTCTGACCTGTTGCGGCCGATGTTTCTAAGTATGGAAGCCTAAATAAAATAGCACCACAATGAAATACCATTAATCAAGACCATCGCACTAAATTTACACACCTTGTGATGGCTTATATGAAACTCATTGAGTTAATAAATCAGTTTAGCACCTGGTTAAACGAAAATAAACATTTACAGAGCCGTGCTTGTATGAAAAATGTCCCATTCTAATCGTAGGATATGCCGTAAGAGGTTTGCAAATATCCTATATATTTGGGATTTTATTTAAATATGTAGTTATCGTCAACTACTCACCCGTTAATTTCAGCAAATTCTCTCGCTTTCCATTCGGAAACCACGCGACGGTCTTCTATATCGGCTTTGTTTCCGCATAATACTATGTCTGGCGTATCACAATATGCATGAACCTGTTCAACAGAAAGTGGGATAATTAATATAAAATTGTTAAACATTGAATACTGTAATGAATCAAAATTGCAATATAAAAATGGTGTAAATGGTTTTGTTCTGATGATGTACCAGCTTCGTGGCAAAGTAATATCGACGTGGAATAAGCAAGCAGATGATTAAATCAAAAAATAATAGTGTGTAAAGCTATAGGAAATTGGGTGCCGAAAAAATAAAAGAAGCAAAAACACGACAAACTGCCGAATAGGTACTCATACCCTGAGTTGTTCTATCCAGTTACGTATCTCAAGAAACGATCGCTCGTTTGTCAAATCAAAGAGAAGTAAAAATCCCATAGCATCTCGATAAAATGCTGTCGTTAAGCTGCGGAACCTAAGCAGGCAAACAATGTAATCGACTTGCTATTTATTACCTAATTGTGTGGTTTCAATTAAATAGTTTAGTTCACTGTCTAAAGTTCTGTAAGTGGAAATTTTCAAAAATAATTCTACATATTTAATTATCGCAAAAAATACATAAAAATTTCACAATTTCCCCATAAAGAAGATGCAGCATGCAAATCTGCTCTACAAATCAGTGCTTAAGTCGATTGATTGTCTACGTAATTGAAATCAAAATAAATTTTAGAAATATCCATTGAGTTTTACACAAAATGGTGAAAGTTATAAAATCAATTCGGTAGTTTTACCTCAGTAATTCATCAGTCTATTCATTTCTTAAAAATTATAATTCACGCTGAAATAAAACGTGTACCTTTCTTGTCCTGCAGTATCCCACAGCTGGAGATGCACTCGATAATTGCGGCCTTTCGATTGATAAATCTGCAAAAATTATTTCAAATTAATTCGAAAGTTCACACAGTGATTACCGAGGATCGAATAATAGAGGGTGATTAAAAATGTGTCATTCCTTTAAGAGAGACTTCCTGTCACAACTAGCGTTTGTTTCTAGACGATTAAAATTTCACCAGTTAAACAAACTATTGCATAAGTCGAGAATTTTTTTATGAAAAATATGGACGGAATCTAGCCAGGCAATTTTCTTTCACCAACAACCCGCCATAATAATTTTTTTTCGTACTAGAAGTTAGTTGATTTAATGCTGTTTTACTGAAATTAGAACTTCTTTTAGAATACAAAATACATGAATCACTTATGCCAACCTGATACCAGTGTATTTATGACCGGCTTAATGCACAGATTGCTCAATGTTTGTGAGTATCAACCGCAAATCCCCACGAGTTACAATTTTCAATGGTGTATTTTTTTGTCACGATGTTCATAACGGCACTAAATCCATATTCTACTAAATAGGAAGACAGAAAAGCAATTAAAAGCTTCTGTGCAATAACCCATAATGATGGATGGATGAAAAATTCGGAACTGTTTTTGTAACCAGAAATTGTCGTATCCTTGTTTAAACATTGGTTTCAACGCCTCATCTATGATAACCTAATAAATTGCTCCTGTAATAGTTTGTATTCATCTGCATTTGTAGCATTAAGGAGTTGGAAATAAATATGTTCAAATGCATTTGTGCTCTGAATTTGACTACTTACAACAGGGGTCTATTCTATAATTTTATATTAAACCTTGCGCTGACTTGACGTTGTTCAAGGACCCCCGCAATCGACTTTAATTTTCCGACGATTCCTCATTAAAACATCCCTTTATCAACAACTTTTTTTGGTTGAGTTTTTGCAAAAATGCGGTTTTGAGCACTTTTTACTCATTCTCCAAACTTTCAATTCGGCAGATTTTCACGCATCACTTGAGGGTAAATTAAGGTATTGGCAACAAGAATAGTCTAACCAACAGCTATTATTATTTTGTTATGCCCAAAATATCGCGGTCTTTGCAGAAGTACTCTACAAATTTTATCAAAATATTTAATTTCAGTCGGCAATTCGGAAATTGTTATTTCCACCGAATGCAAAACAGGTAGATTATAACAGTAAATACAATCGGCGTTGACACGGATTGTGCCTGCATAGAATCACACAGGTTTAAAGCTGTTCCTACTTTGCTAAACCTCCTTACCAAACGTTTTTCGCGAAAATCGATTCCAACTGTTGATATGAATCGGGAATTGAATGTGCCATCAGTGTACTGATACAGGAAGCTGGTTTTTCCTACCCCTGAATCGCCCAGGGCGAGAAATTTGATCAAGTAATCATAATCCATTCTGGAAATAAAAAACAATATATGTAATTTAATTTGCCAGCAAACACCGCACACAATCTGAGGCGTTAAAGGAATGAAATTAATGAACATATTAGAAGGAGATAACTTACCTCATTAGTCAATAAGTATCGTTAGAAACTTGTGGAATAAAAACGAATCAAAACTAATGAAACTAACATAGACTGCATCTAGAAACCAAAAAGAATTGCACAGATTTCCTTTAAAAAAATAACCAGACCACCTGTCAGATTCTAAGATATTCTGTGGCTACCGTCACGACTCCACGTATAGCAAAGTTTGTGGAAAATGTATGAAAATCTATTTGGACAGAGTTGTATTTATCTCTGTTTTTTGCGGTCCAGACAGAGATAAAACGTACCAGACCCGGACTTCTACAGATTGAACGGAATTTGCACAGGAATGTGTATTATTTATTGGAAATTTAACCCAATTTTTTAGTGCAATTTTTTTTCCAATAATTATGGCTAATGTGACTGTAGAAGTCGAATACTGGTAAGGCTCCATATTTCCTGCATGTAGACGTTAGCTTAAGTGAACAGTCGTTTCAGCAATAAGTGTGGCTACTTTATTAAGTTCGAAGAACTTAAGACACATTTAACCGAAAAGCATCCCTCAGTGGAAATAGTAGGACGAGAAGGGCGAAGAGGTAAATGGAGTTAACAACTTAGGCTGCTTTAGTTTTTCCATTAACACAAGTTTACTTATATTAGCGTGATTATTTGAGTATATTTCTTGCCATCTATTGAATATTCATTTCAAGCACTTATCTTGGGTGTATAGAGGAAGAATGAAGAATAAATCATACGGTTAAAGGCACAAGAAAGCCTTTAAATAAAGTTTATTTTTTTAAATTTTAGACGTTATTCTTTAGGCGCAAGCGTAGTGACATTCGTGTGACATTTCATTCAAACGTGAATATAAATTTTGGAATATTTGTTAGAATTGTGAACGCTGGGTGAGTGATTATAGAATAATACAAATATATTTTAGTATGAATTGTACACTATTTGTGTTAGTAGTTATCTTTATACCTACATCTGTTTAGTTGCTCTTATTCTTTATACTACGCGCTATTGCACTTTATAAATGCAACAATGTATGTGTTGCATTGTAAAGAATACTGTTGTAGAACTGTTGCAAGAATAAAACATATGTTTTATTCCTGCAACTTATAACGCTAGGCATTCCTTATTCTTGGTGTGTAAACCCGACTTGCATGAAACGCGGTGAAACAGTTAATAATTATACAGGGTGATTCACTGATCAATGGGTAATTTTCTAACTTATCTGGGCTTTGTATTCGAAGTTAACAATGTCTAACTCACCTTATGTAGAATCCTTTTTCTAACAACTTTTCGTACTGGTATTTAATGTGGAAATGCGGTCACTTTTACTTGTTGAAATTGACCAGGAGGACGCCCTTTTGTTCAAGCTGTATGTCACATTGACGTGGTTCGAAAAATATCGCGCATTTGCCACATTTAGATAAGTATGTACCTACTTACTTGATTTGTTTCTCAGACCCACTTTGAGGATATTTTGACTCCTTAATTTTGTCTAACTTTTGTTAGTTCAGGTTAACGTATTATATTGATTTTTTGTATACAGGGTGGCCATTTTCTGAATCTTTGTATGAGTAACTTCTACATTTTTAAAGATAGAGAATCCGTTAAATGGGGAAAATTGGGCAGAATTCGATTGCTTATTCATTACCGTTTTCAAAATTTAGGTATCCGACTTGGTTCCAGAAATATCCTGAAAATACAAGAAGTCAACACTTTTTTAATTACCACTTATTACGTAAACTGCTTAACTTAGAAAAACAGTTAAAACTGCCCTTAGTACAACTTTTTGCGTTGAATCCAATAAACTAGCACTCGTTATCATAGTTAACTTGATTGACGAGATAAAAAATAAACTTAGGGTTTTTTAAATGGTAATCGTAGTTGGCTGTGGGCCTTTTAAAATCCTTATTTTTTCTGAATTTAACGATATAATTGTTTGTATGTTTTTCTCCTTTTGTTGCCGTAAAACTTCAGAAGAAGGTAAAAAATGTGTAGTAAGCTATGGAAACAAGAACTATATTATCACACAAAGCGCAAAACAATAATGAATGGTTTAAATTAAATGTTCAAATTGACTTCCTTTTACGTCCAGGCATGTTTTGGCATCTTCACATTCAACTCGTGTTGTGTGAAGGTGCACTATCATGTTGAAAATATGTCAATTTTCGATACGATGCTAACGGAAAACTATTCAACATATCTTGTTCATTTAGTAAAAAGTGTAAATATTTTTCCATATTTAAATTGTGATTATAAAAGAATGGACCAACAATTTTACCACTAAAAATGCCTCACCAGACATTCACAAAAAAAAACACGTTGTAATCGCCTATTTTCAATTAGATGATTATTTTCATTAGCCCAGTAATCATGATTGTGTCTGTTAATTATTTCATTTTTGTTTTGTGCTTTGTGTGTATAATATAGTTCTTGTTTTCATAGCCTACTACACATTTTTATCTTCTTTTGAAGTTTTACGGCAACAAAAGGAGGAAAACATGCAAACAGTTACATCGTTAAATTCAGAAAAAAATAAGGATTTTAAAAGGCCCACAGCCAACTGTGATTACCATTTAAAAAAAGATAAGTTTATTTTTTATCTCGTAAATCAAGTTGACTATGACAACGAGTGCTAGTTTATTGAATTCAACGCAAAAAGTTCTACCAAAGACAATTTTAACTTTGTTTTTTATTTAAGCAGTTTACGAATTATATGATAATTAAAAAAGTGTTGATTTCTTGCCTTTTCAGGAACAAGTCGGATACATAGATTTTGAAAACGGTAATAAATAGGCAAACGAATTTTGCTCAATTTTGCCCATTTAACGAATTCTCTATTTTTAAAAATGTAGAAGTTACCCATACAAATATTCAGAAAATGGCCACCCTGTATATTTTATCAAGACTAAACAACTAAAAGGGTACATGGACAAACGAAGACAATAAACCATTGCGAAGAGTTTCTCTAAAACACAAACATATCAAATAGATTGGTCGACTAAAATACTGTTTAATAAAATTTCAACTTTCCAAGTAACTCAAGTTTTTTTTCTTTTAAAAATTTAGAAGCCAAAATAAAGTCCGATTCTCACCTGCGGTACATGTTAGTAACTATTAGCGGTACCCAATTTTCTACAGCCAAACAGTTTAAACAATGTTTTGACATAAATTACAAACTTTAAAATTAAAACCGTTGAAGCCGATCGGTTTCTACTTCGATCAGGTCTGACTTATTCTGTTTCTATTATCAGTAGTGTTTGTACTTTTTTCGTGTGAATGTGTTGTGAATATCATGTAAGCTTTATTTTGAAGGAAGAGTGAAATCAGTGTTACTATTTTATACCGAGAACGTCTGATGATTGCGTAATAAATAATTACCTTATATGAGGTTTCGACTTTAAATTTAATCGATAAATTTACAATAGTTTAACTAGGTATTAAGTAGGTTCAAACCGAATGAATTATAAAGATTAGTAACTTTACGGCGCCCTCAAAGTAAACCCCCTTGTAAACTAGCCGGTATCTCCGAAGCGATTCGAATAGTTAAACAGTCGTTTTCACCTTTTCGATAGCCCTTCTCAGGAACTTTCACTAATTTGGTTTTATCATAAATGGCGAACGTCATAAAAGGTAGAGGCAAAAATAAGAAAACAGCTAAAACCGTCTTCCCCGCAGATGTTAATCAAAATTTCAAGCCTCCAAGAATCATCTGCAGCTGTTTTCATTTTAATTTGCCTTCAATCATTTTGCTACAAAATTTTCATTCAAAAATTTACATTGTCTAAAATTTTCTTGAATTTATTGTTCTAAATGTGTAAACGAACATTCTTCGGCCATCGACTTTACTTTACCCCAACTAGCAAGAAAGAAAATTTCCATTTCAAAGAAAACTTTGATAGTTTTAAACCTCGAAACTAAACCATCTCTAGAAAATGTAGAAGTTTGATTCTTCTTCATCTGAACAGAATAGTTTGCGGGTTCAAACGCAAACAGTAGTCGATGTAAATATCAAATAAACTCATGCAGATCAAACTAACATTGAAACGATCTAATTGCAGGATCGTTCGAGGTGAAGATCAACGATTATTTGGTTCATTCAAAATTGCAAACTCTCGCATATCCTGATTATTCCGACTTATGGAATCTTATAAATGATGCGCAACAAGGGAAAGAAGTGAAGGGGCCGTGTAAACAGCAACCAATTACATCATGCGCCATTTCATAAAGGTACAAATCATTATGTTTTCGTTGAGAAAATATGTCCTTTGTAACTACGCAACTAGTGTTGTAATTACAAGTTAGTTTGTAGTTATTAGTACAGCAGTGCAAAAGACAACTGTTTAAAGCAAGAAAATAAAAAAGCGACATGCCGAGATGGGAAATTATGATTTAATTCACTTATAATATTTTCATAACAATTGGAAACTATCTGGTCTATAATGGACCCAAAATATTACAATGGTTTTGATAATTTTGTATCACATTTTGTTTAAACTTTGGAAGAGTACTCAAACTTCTGAAACCCTGCCAAGCCCATTCTGCAAATGTGAAAAATGGATTTCTCGGAAAAATAAAATCCAACAAATTATTTGTAAGTGTTCTATTGTAAAGTATGAAATAAATATCCTAATGTTCTTCCATATGGAAGAATTTTCATAATGCATCCAGATACAAAAAAACTAACAACTGAATAACAAAAATCTCGATAACAAGATGTTACGCACACAACTACCGACAAAAAGATGTAAAAATACACTTACATAGTTTTTCGAAGAGACTTGAGAAATGTACACCAGTCTCGAATATATTATATATTATTTTCAATACGTTTACAGTAGAAGTTCATTCTGACACCAAATTCGAAAAAATTGCAGTCTCCAAAGAACATCTCTAATTGAATATTGGATAAACTGTTTGGGGGCACAAACAAAATTTGAAAATACTGCAAAAGAAATTAAATTTATTCAAATACCACGCAAAAATGACAAATACTGTTTTCCAATATCCAGTAAAAACATGTTCTTACATAAATCAAAAAACATTCAAACAGACGTTCGTTTTTCTAGAATTATTCTAGAAAAAGGAATGTCGGAAAATATGTACATCTTATACTAGCATGTCCGTTAACAGTCATTACCATCATACTTTTTCATGGACAATATGAACGTGAGTTATACAAATATTTTCACTATAATACAAAATTCATCCTAGAGTAGTACATCCAGCACAAGTTGGCCATTGCAAAATACGGAATCATTTCGTAATAAATCTGTAAAAATTGTTTTAACATGGTTTTCTATTGAGAATAATCAAGATCAAATAGTAATTTGAAAGTACTCAAATCAAATGGAAAGAGTTCCAGAACCGAATCAAATCCATTCAAATTAAATAAGTTTTGAAAGTTAATCAATAATTAAAGTAATTTGTTTATATTACAGCTCTAATTAGAAATGAACCAGATACAACTTGATAATTATTAAATTAATGATAATACATAACAAGAATATGTATTCTGTCATATTTTGCATGGCGCTCCTTTTTCTGGGTTGACCAATAAAGGCCCACTTTAGGCCCGAATGATGCTACTGATCTTCAGAACATATAGTGTAGAAAATTCTATGAATTCAATGCAACCTTTTCTTTTAAATAAATGCATTTTATCAGTTTTGTTTATGGAACTTACAGGAAAATCAGAAACTATTCTAAACTAAAATTTTATTCAAAAATATAAAGTTTCTAAAACACAGCTGTCATTTAAAGTTCATGAAATTTTCTAAACTACTACTACCATATTGCGAATTAAAGTTTACCTACTTTAATTCGCAACATAATAAACATGTACAACAAGCAGCTCACAACTGGTATATTCTCAAACAAACTAGTTGGGAGATGGTTTTACCAACTAGAATTAACTTCTAAAAATCCATTTACACATTTTAATAGAGGTACCTATGGTGGGTGGTTCCTAACGGAACCCTTATTTAAAATTGCACTCCTTGTGCAAAATACAGATCTAACCGCTTTGACTCTTGTTGTTCTATTTCAATTACCAAAAGACTGTTTCAAAGGACCTAATTTCATCAAGCAAATGACTAATTGTAGGTTTAAATTTAAGAAATCTAATAATTTACAGCAGTTTTAATCTTCATGAAATGTTTTTGGTTTTACGAAAAAAAAAACGGGAAAAGTTATTCTTTCATATGCCAAATTGTATCAAATGTTTATATAAGATAAAACTTTTGATACTTGATCAGAACGATGTCATCGTTTGTAAAGCGACTTGTAAGATTTACATTAATTTTAATGTTTCTGCTCTGACATGGGATAAAAATTAAAAACGTGTAACTTTATTTTGTCAGCTTACTCTGATTAACTGCTGTTCCCGAAATATATGGCTCTCAAGTTAAATAGACCATCCGGTATTTACGCATTTGCTTTAATTATCACTCAACGATTACGTCGATTGACTAAATAAAAGTAGGTTTGTTGAAAACTTTCAGTGAGTTTCTCAGTAAGTTCTTTCAGTAAAACAGTCAGTAGAGTGTTGATAAAAACATTTATTGAATTTTAATGGTTGGACGGTGATTGATCATTATGCGTTTCTGTAATGATTCAGTTGATCAATAGATACAAAAAGTATGTGTAAAAATGTTTATAATTTGTGCAACCTTTTTGGCATTTAGTGAATCTAAACTGAAAGCAACTGAAAATGTAAAATTTTTGATAATGTATGGGGAAAGCTTGTATTGTTTAGATAGCAAATAGTATTCCAAGCAGAGAATCTCTCAAGCAATAGATATTTGATCAAACCATATTTATTATTCCCTAGTTATCCAGGCAAATTATATTCGATTATGCATACGCATGTGATAATATTATGAAAAAAAGTATTTGCCTGATAGATATTTTATCTAAATTAATCAAACTAGTCGGGTGTATAAATAAAAAAGAAATTTTAAAGTTGGTTGGGGACTTTTATACAGAGCTATACAATGGAAAGGAACGCAATCCGCCTGACAACTTGCCTCATGTACAAAACCAATGTTCAGAGGATATTCCTGATATTACCCTGGATGAGATAAGAGCGTCGCTAAAAGAAATGAATTGGCATTAATCCTATTGAGGCAGGAGGAAACAAATTGCTTAAAAATATATGCCTGCTTTTCAATCCATGTCTCCTGAAGGGCACAACACCTTCCCAGTGGGATAATGCTGTAATAATCATAATGCACAAAAACGGAGACATCGCAAAACTAGACAACTATATGTAGACCGATAAGCTTATTGTCACATGTGTACAAACTCTTTATGAAGATTATAGCTAAGCGTCTGATACCTAACTTAGATTTATACCAGCCTCGGGAGCAGGGTTTGGAACAAACGACCACCTTCAAACTATTAAGACACTAATAGAAACATGCATTGAGTATAACAAGCTACTTGTCCTGGTATTCATAGAGTTTGCAAAGGCTTTCGACTTCGTAAATCAACACAAAATGTTGCTAGCGCTGGCGGACTGTTGAAAAACGTATACAAGTGGATCATGGCACGTGTAAGGTTACATGAATTCCTCAGGGCGACACAATATCTCCGAAACTGTTTACCACCGTATTGGAATATGCCTTTAAAAGCGTAAACTGGGAAGAAACGGGCATAAATATCGACGGAGAGCTGTTGAGCCACATGAAGTTCGCTGATGACATATTGACCAGGCACATATTATGTTGGAGAACCTTCATGAAGCGTGTAAGAAGTTGGTTTAAAGGTTTAAAAAAGACCAACTTTGTCATGAGCGAGAATATCTCAGTTTGCGGTAGGATTATTCAGCAGGTTTCCTCACATAAATATTTGGGACACGAGATCAGGATTGGCCGAGATATTCAAACCTGTGAGCTGAACAGGAGAATAGACTTGGCGTGGGCTGCAGTTGGAAAGCTTAGGGAAGTTGTCAAATCAAACTTGATGATCATGATGAATCAACCGAGTGAGAAATAAGATACGTATCACCTATATAAAACATATCATTATTGCAACAATACAAATGCTCACGAAACCTTTTATTCGGTTATTTGGCTCAAATTTATGGTATTCGATTCGAAACATCTTCATCAACTCGTAATGAAACATGTAAAGAAATCTGAGGCAAAAACGCTAAAGTAAAAATTTTGCAAATTGCTGTACAAGTCTCGATATCCAGCATATAGAACACATCTAAAATAAAACGCTGTGAATCAAATGATAAAAATATCGTAAATTTGGAGAACTTTGCTCCATTGCTGATACAGAATATGCTATTTTCTTGAGGTGTTCCCTTCGGTATATCACAATTGATAATAAAAGTTTGGTATCTAAACATATCAAACTACTCGAAAGATCCAAAATCACTTGGAAGATTGAAATAGAACAACAGATCAAAAGGTTAGATTATTTTATCTTTTTATTATTTCTCTATCACCATTAATGCACATTAAAGTGTGTCCATTGAGTGTCACTAAAGTTACTCTAATTGTTCACTGTCACATCACTTTAAGCTGCCATTAAGTATTCGCAAAATCAAATCGCGCACATAATAGTTTCTTCGTTTCAACACAAGAACTATTAACGCTTGGATTTCTTGCTGAGGTCCTGCGGTCCTTGATTCGCTCCCAACTCTGAGTTCATCCGATACCCGAAATAAAACCTGGCAAGTTCTTGCTGCAGCTGTTGATGCAATTGCAGCCAATGCATGTAAGACCGAGATAGTCCGGTTACTCCCATTTCCTGGGAATTGCCTTCTATCGACGGAAGTCCATCTGGAGTGTCCGGCGGCAATGCCAATGAAGTCGGACGATCAGACGGGCCACCAGTTGCCGCATCTAGCGCAACTTCTGCAGTTTTCGAGTCGTCATTTCTAGGTTCGAAGGTGCCACCCGGTTTGGGTGTGCCCGACCTTTGTCATCACTGGCTCACCGCCGGCGATTTTTTATCCTGTGTAGAGTCGCCACCTTGCGGCGTCGAACTGCCTGGTGGCACTCCAGATGGGCCTCTATCTCCAGGCCCCGAACCTCCTGCCCCTAAAAATCAAACAAAAAACACCATTAAAGCTCGTGTTACTTATTTGCTTTGAAAACATTATCAACATAATAAGGCTGTATTTTTTTAAACGTGTTTATTATTTCGACGAGCGATTTCCATAAAAACTTTTAGTCTCAAGACATTAGAAAACAATGATAGCATATTTATGTACCAAAACGTGGATTTTTACCGGACATGTTTATGCCCTAAGTCATAACGCAACATAATGTGCGAGATTCAACAAGGTGATTAAAAATTGGCTTCATTTTATTGAAGGTGTTTTCTGGGGGCTACTTAGGGCGGACGGGAAATTAGTAAAGCAAATGCTCACAGGAGGCTCGGGATATTTGCCCTTACGGTCTTTAATGCCTGTTGGTGTTAGTTTTTATCAAACTCTTGACACCATCTCTTTCGGCTCCTAATGAGTACAGCTGATTAATTAATTTTCAGTTTCCCAGAAGAATTAATTTGCTTCTAATAAAGAACACACCGTGGATTTTGTATAGAGTTCCGATATTAAAATTCCGGACTCTGTAAGGAAATCAAACTTTATCCGTGTTCAACATTATTATACAGTTTAAGTTTTGAAGATCACAAATTAAAAACTATGGACAAATAGGATTTAATTCCGACATGTCAACAAGAATCTATCTGAATACATGGTTCTTGAGATTTTCATAAGAAATGTATAAAATAAATTTCGCAATGTTCATTTGTAATGTTTAGATAGTGTGCCAAACCTTTGAACTATTTTCAAATATTGCTATTAATATTTTTAAAACTATATTCGAGAACTTCCATTTTTTCGTACTCTCCAAGTCAGCCCTAGTAATTCCTTAAAAGGAATGACTCCAATTTTTCAACACCTTGTACAGGATTTTTCTACCACTAACGGCCACCTGAAGGAAAAATTTGTTTAGTTATGTCTGCAGTTATTTTATACAAAAATTGTCCAAGTTAATATATTTTTTGTAATTTTCATTATACCGCTATTCAGTGTTGTTGCATTTCAGAGTTTATTAGTTTTCTATTTGGAACTAAATTAATATAACCGAGGACTCTTGCTGTTCATTTAATTACAGCTGTTATTATTTACTTTGGTTTCTTCATTAGCATTTCACTCTGAAAAAATATAATATTTATCATGAGAAAAATGGTGTTTTATTAGGTTCGCAGTAGTAGAAAAATGAGCCGTTTACCTTGATAGTTGTGCAAGTCCATGTTTGGCAAAACCAATACTTGCCATGCGTTTTTTAAAATATGTATGTAAATGTCCGTTAAAATAAATTGTGCAACAAAACCATACAATATTTGGTTGAAAAATCATAATGCATAATTTCTGTAGTTGTTTTCTGGGAAGTGCAACACTGAAACTTTCAAAAACTGTTGCATAATAATGCAGACATTTGAAAATGACGAAGAGGGTGAGTTTTTTCGATGACCAGTACTGGGACCTTGGAAACTACAGCAGATACAACAAAGGTTAAATGGACAAATAACTGTAGTTTCGAATGCTCTACTAATTTTCTATTTTCAAAATTTGACAGCTGTCAAGAGATATTTCAAGAAAACTAATTTATAACTTTTAAATAACTCCTAGTTCAGTTAATATTGATATGACTGAAAAACATTCAAATGAAAAGTTTTAAGGAAATTGCATTCCAAATAAAATGACATGACATTTTTACAAATTAACTGTCATTTTTAACATATGACATAAACTTGTGTGTTTTAATAGAAACCATTTGATTATGTCTTTATTAAATAGGGCATTTTATTACGATTTCAGTGATATATAACATCGTTAGGTTTATTCGAAAGACACGAAGTGTCTGCGCATGATTTTGTAGTTGATCGAAGTTAACCATGGAAAATAGTATAAGGCATTGTTTCCATAGTAACAAATAATAACAATATGCTTTATTTTGACAACTACCTAAAAATTGGTAATCACTTCATTTTAATTAAGACGACACCTCATGAAAAGTGTTTATTATAAAAATCAAAACATACTAATAATAACTAAAATTGAACAGAAGTCCACCATTATTGTCAATTCAAACATTGCAGCGCTTTAAAACTGAATAAGTTGCTTTTCTAATTGACCGACCATCAATATTTTCAAATATTCTTCTAACAGCTTCTTTAAGTTTTTAATATTTTTTAAAAATTTAAATTGCTATTTATTTTTAATAAATAGTGTTTTTTACTGCTCCCCATAAAAAATCCAAAACTGAAAGATCCGGTGATCGAAGTGGCCATAAAATATGACCGTTTCTTCCAATACAAACGCCAGAAACATTTCCGTCCAGATGATTCCGCATTCCACATTACGCGGTGTTTCTAAATCAAGTCGTCCAATATAATATCCAGATCATTCCGAAAGAATTGAAGATACCGACTTCCATTTAAGGAGTCTTCAAAAATAAATGGTGCAAGAATTTTTCAACCTATAACCAAATGACAGTTTGTGGTCTTCTTTGCTAAAGTGGTGGAGATTTGTTTGATTCCAATTCCATGTTCATTATGTTGACTAAACAAACCACAATTTGTAAATCGAGTTTCATCAGTCCATATTTTATGAGGAAACTGGATGTCTTGTTGGCATTTGTTTCGGAATCATGTACAAAAATTCACAAGCAGCTCATCATCCCCTGGATGTAAAGTTTGGGATACTGATAATTTATACGGATGGAATTTGTGTTTTTTTAAAACTCTCATCACTGTGCCTTGGAAAGTCCCGGATTCCGCTGCAGTCTCTCTAGTTGAAGCCTTTGGATTCTGGCTTACAATGACCAGACATTAACTTCCACAGCTTCATTTAATACTTTATCTTTATTTCTTGGCTGTGTAAAACTTCCAAAAGCACCCAAATTGTCGCATAACCTTTTGAATGTTTTTAAGGACGGCTGACGATGGTCAAAATACCTCTCAAAATAGTAATCAAACCTAACGGTGTTATATATCACTGAAATCGTAATATCGTATGTCAAAAATAACATTTAATTTGGAATGCAATTTCTTAAAACTATTCTATTGAATGTTTTCCTGTCAGATTAATACTCACTGAACTAGGAGTTCTTTAAAAATATGTCATAAGTTAGTCTTCTTCAAACATATCTTCAACAGCTGTCAAATATTGAAAAGAAAAGTAGTTTCGAGTAGAGCATTCAAAACTACAATTCTTTGTCCATCTAACTTTCGTTGTATCTGCGGTTGTTTCCAAGATCCCTGTACTAGTAATTGAAAAACTCTTACTATACTGTTTTACACTTGTAGTACAATGAAATAACACCCACATTTTATTTGGTTTTTGGTTATTTAATAAAAATTCATACAATTTTTGGTTTGGTTCAATCAAAACCCCAATATCCCAACGTATAATTTACACATTTTTGCAGCTTTGATAATGGTCAAGATCATTTCAGTCTATGATAAGTATAAAAAATTTTAACTAATACTCTAAAACGGCGACATTATAAATTTAATACAGTATAAAACATCGAATCCTTTAAAATTAGATACCTAAGCTAAACAACCTAATTTTTACCTTCGGAACTCCTTGAGACATCAAAAAAGAAATGGGACATGCAAATGCATTGCCACTGCATGAAATTATTCTTCTGAGAAAAACTCAACAAAATAAAAATTTCAGCATGTACAGGGTGTTTCCTGATCAGTTGACACCCCCTAGATCGTTTATTTAAAAAAAATTGTGAAAGTGACCAACACAAAAGTTGCTTAATTTTGCTCAGATTTTGAGATCTGAATTTAAAATAAAAATGTAAAACGCGGAAATGTAAAAATTTGACATATAGTCATTTTTAAACAAAACACCCTATATATTTGCATAAACAGGGTGGTTAAAAATGGTGGGGCTGGGGTAATAAGATAGACAAAGATAAATGGTAAATTCGACAGGAATCGTTGACTAACGGAACCTAAACTGAAACCCTTTGTTGGCGTCTTTCAGCTTCTGCTATGTTAATGTAGCGTTTCCCCTGAACTAATCGCATATCCGCAAATTCGTGAAAGGAAATTCAAAGTAAATCACAAATTTCAAAATTTTTCTCGTACCCTCCAAGTGAGCCCCTATTACCCCTTAAAAGGAATTGTAGGTTTGGCGTCATTCTGGAGCTGTTGTCTGTCGGTGTTTTAGGAGTACAAAAAAAATAATTGTTATTAAAAACTGAGATTGCAAAAAACTATATTAGAAAAAATATATTTCAAAAATATATATTTTACCTATTTTTGTATTAGCCGTTTTTAAATAATAGTCAAATCAAAATATTGATTTGACCGCCGCAGTTGTGGACGAAACGTCAGGAAGAAATTCCGATAGACCACGGCTTCAAAGCCCGGAAAACATTTCTAAATGTAATCTGACCGGCCGTGAAAGCCTTCATAGTACATATTATATTTCTGAAATCACAAAAGAAAATCCAATCGACCTGACTAAAAACACATAGGGTGTTTCATTTAAAAAACGACTTTATGTCAAATTTTGACATTTCCGGGTTTTATATTTTTATTTAAAATTCACATTTAAAAAATGGAGTAAAATTAAACTTCTTTATGATCAATTTCACAATTTTTTTGAAATAAACGATCTAGGGGCGGGGGTGTCAACTTAGGAGGAAACACCTTGTACGTATTGTACGTGTGTAAAGTGTTCCTGCTAGTGGTTGGTTTTATTTTAAAAAAATATGTGTATAAATGAATGTACATATATAAATGTAACTTTCTATAGACATTAGGTATAATTTTTGTCGCAGAAATTAATTTATGTATGTAATAAACAAACAGTTAAAGAAGGTACATGTGTATTTATAAACCGAACGGGTGATACGAACGAATCGCAAATATAATTCATGATGAATTCTGGACGCTTTCGTAGATAGATAAAAAAAACATGAACTAAGCTCATTTACACACACAATATTATTTAATCTTGTGTGTGTAATTGGATGTCCGCTACTAGCAAGGAAAACGGCTCAAATATAAAGCAACCCTACAATAAAATAGCGCGTGTTATTTATTTACATCGGACCTTAAAATGCGGCTTCCAGAGATTTATTCGCCTTCGAATTCAACCGTACCAAATTAATTTGCTATTTTAATTTATTACCTTATACAAGATTTTGTACATTTCCTATAATTTAATATACATACATACATATTAAATTATACGTGTTTCACATTTGTACCTGTGCCCCACGAGTTTGAACCGGCCATGGGGGAGTCGGCCCCGTGGAAACCGCCGCCCCCATGGTTGTCGTGGTCGAGAGAGTTTGCCGCATCGTACTGCGAGTTTTCCAATCGGGTGATCATTCGTTCGTCTTCATCACCAAACTCACCACCCATCAGGGAAGGCTCACCAACGACCATCACATCCTGAAAAAATATATTCATTAATCCAGTAAATGTAAACAGCACTTTTTGTTTGTTTTTCTCAATTGGCAATTTGTTACTGATTAGTGATCAAATGTCCTCGTTTCTTCAGACTGGGTTGTAGAGGAGTGTTTAGTAAACACATTTATTCAGAAAAACAGATAATGAATAAATTAAATATTGCATATTGCAAATTAACAATATTTATAGATAAAATTTCTTCTGCTTAACTGGACAAACAGGTTCACACATAAAAAGAGTTGTGATATCCATTCTCATATTGTGATATCGTTCTGGTACTTTAAAGTTTACAGAGGGGCTCCAAATTAGAAGGGCATTTGTTTGGAGGGTTTGAAGGACATTTTAAGATAAAATTTGAGGTGGACAGACCGATTGAAATGGGCATGAAATGACCCTGGAAAAGGACAAATTGATATGGAAGTGAAAGTCTGAGCATTTAGAAAGACAGAGGAAAGGCAAGTACATTAGCGTATTGTGTGCCATTTTGGTTCCTTGTATAATACCGTCCTTTAAAATCGTGTTTTCACAACTGCTTGGCTGCTTACCCAAAAATAATTTCTGAAAACAAGGTGACCTCTCTTTGAAGATATATTTTTTTATTATTCAGATTAATATTATACAGAGGGACAAACTAAGGTTCTTTTTGCCTCTTATGGACAATCTCTTTCAAGCAAAGCAGTGTAATTATTGGACCAAAAAAAATATATTCAAAGATTTTTACTTGCAAATGGTACATTTTAGCGATTCTATTATCTAATTAGGCGTCTTTTTACTCAAAAATACACTGGAATTTTCGAGTTCGATAATAGAAAAGTACAAAATACTAAAAGTACAAATTAACAGAAATATAAAAAATTGACTCTTCCAAATGTGACGACGCCCATGTTAACAATTAAAGAATCATTTATTAGTTTCGTTGCCGAACATTCTATTCTGAAAAAAATATAATTCCGCTAACTGCCCTCAGGTCTAGAAGTTTGTATGAGAAGGTTTAACCTAAGGGTTAAAACTAACCTGTTTATCTATGGATTGAACTTTTTTTAAATCTTTATTTAAAAGAAATTTAAAAAAACTAAACATTTTCAATTAAGGGATAATAAAAACGAACGAACATTTTTTGCAATTAGAATGTCGAAAATGTCCGTGTGGTCTACATAACGCCTTTCTATAGTTTTGCATTTGATATTACAGGCTGATTTCTCAGTTAATTTTCTTTTTCCACTTTCTTCACTTTTTCCAAAATGGAAATTTAGGAGATTAATTTTTTTTTTCCTTCCGTTTTTACCGTCCTCAATTCTGAGAGAAATTGGAATGGAATACACTTAACTTGAGAATATAAGAGGTACTTTTTATTTGAGAATAAAAAGAACTAAAGGTGTTGATATAAGCACTAGAAATTATGAAAGACAAGTTTCGAGATTCAGCTCGGTTCAGAGCTAATAGGCTCGAAACCGGTCCCGGGGGTGTCTGAGGCTGGCGAAACTCGAAACTTGCACTATCTTTCATGATTTATTGTTCGGATGTTACCGACGAAATGCTTGTCTTTATTAATAGAAATTATTTTGGCCAGTTGAGGAGACAGCTTACATTTCAATGAAAACCATGTATAATATTTATTTAAGTTAGTCCCTATCATATTTCATCAGACGATTAAAAAGCGTAGGAAACTCTCCCTCTTCTGATCGAGCTCGGTAAATATCATACACCCGTTTTATGTTTCTGTTAAGTCGTTTGTGATCTATAAGTAACACTTTCACAATATATTACAGCTTAACAAGTAGAACATTTTTTTCCAACCAACCTACCGCACTAAAATTTGTGACTAAATATACAAATTATTAACTGCTTCGAGTTGTAGCGTATATGTCGATAGATTGGGGCTTTGTAGATGAAGCAAACTGAGGAGTAGTGAGACGCGTTGAAGCTTATATGAGAACGCATTTTTACAGTCAAACCTCAATTAGACGGCATTTGCTAATTAATATCATTCATTGCCCGTAGTCACATTCGAAAGTGCTCACAGTGTATAGCGATAAATTTACTACACGCAACATATTTTAACAAGCGAAAAATACATCAAAGTATTCAATTTACTTTCCCTCGGGATATTATTATTTCTTTAAAGGAGAAATATAGAACTAAATTAAATTATTTTTACACTAAAGCTCATTTCACTGTTAAGCTGCAGATATTCATTGTAATGCGACATTTAAGAAAATATAATAATATTAAGAGATTGAGTGCCGGTTTCTGACCCCTCTGTTCTTATGAATTTTGGAGTAAAAATGAAGTTTGAAGAACAGAAATTGAATCCAGTTAGATTCGTCTTCAGTGCGCGTTCCTCGAGGTTATTCAATGGTTGGTAGATGATACTTTTCGATTGCGAAGGGAAAAGCAGATTTTTGAAAGACTCCGTTCTTCCGATATTACTCAGTGTGCGATGTTTTAAAAATGACAAGCTAAAATCGCAATTGACCGCATTCGTCGAAAATTTCACGACAACCTTTGCAATGCAAAACATCGAGCGCATCTTCAGCTTTATTCACACCAAGTACTCAACTAAAACCTCAATAAACTCGTTTACACTCTGACCAAACATTGAAAATATC